AATTACTTATTTATTTTTTTCAATAATTCTTAAAAAATATTATTTATTATAAAAAAAAAATGTCAGAAAATTTGAAGAACCTCGCCGGAAAAGAGAGAAACTCACCGGATCGGAGATCAAAATTCAGAATCTAAAAAAATAAAAATTGATTTTCGAAGGTAAACTTGACTGAATCGGCATCGATAAATTAGCCTCTCGTCTATAGGTCCTTCGATTATCATAAATAAATAAATTAAAAAAAAAAAAAAAAAAAAAAAAAATTGCTCAGTGAATACGAACCAAAAGATGATTTTCACGCTACAGCAATGAATACTGTAATCAATTTCGAATTTTTCATCTTCATCGCAAATTTGCAGTATTTAAATAAAAATTGATGAATCTGTGAAGAATGAAGGAATTAAGTGAGATGAGAGAGAAAGAGAGAGAGAGGCGATTTTGATGTAAACCTAATGAACAATTCCAGGTATTAAATAGGGGAAGATGCGAGGGTATCCTTGGACCAATGGGCTTTGTTTAATTTAAAAGCCCAAATTTAAAATTAGTGTGAAAATATAATAAATACTATGTTGATTTGGGCTTCTTAAGAAAATTCTCACTACGCCCAACAGGCCTTGTTGATTAGGGAGGGTTATAAATTTAAAAAGAATAAAAAATACGAAAATCGGAAAACTGAGCCGTTGCGAAAACCGAACTTAGTTGTGACCATGGTTCGCCAGAACGTTTCTGTTGTCGCGGTCCGAACGGACAAGTTATAATGAAAATTAATGTCAAATACGTTTTTATTATTAATATGACAATAGAATAATGTACAAAATATCATTAAAACTCCAATTGTTTGGTTGACAAGATAAAATTAGTCAATATAAAAGTAAATAATAAAACTCAATTGTATTATTGGACCTTGGAAGATTCAATATATTAATCATACCTAAAAGGTAAAATAAAGCATGATAAAATAATATTTGTGGATCGACACGATAAATTATAGGATAACAAACATCAAATAAAGTATGATTATTTGTTTAGGGTCTTTCTTGGGTAAGACCACCTGTGTTCTAAACTTATATGAGATATGTATTAATCACCATTATTTTTTAAGATTAAATCTGGACCCTATGAAAATAACATGGCTTATATTCTAAAAAATGAAGTATTTTGCCAAATTATCCTTCAATTATTTTTTTATTAAATTAATATAAAATTGATTAACATTGAATTGTCTAATTTACCCTCTACTATATTTTAATTAAATAAATAATTTAAATTCATTGTGACCGAGTTTTATTTGATAAATAATCAAAAAAATGCATTCATTGGGGATAGAATTTGTGACATCTTAATACATTCATCACTCCTAACCATTAAAGCACATTAACTTATCATGATATATTTAACCATAATTGTATAAATCTTATATATAAAAGAAAGAAACGCTAGGGCAACCCTAAGAAACCCTAATGTCATATTTGTAATTTTTTTTTCAATTTTTATCAAATTTTTATCTCCTTAATATTATTTTAAATATTATTTTCGAATTTTATCATATTTGTATCCCCTAAATATTATTTTAAATATTATTTTTATTTTTATCAGATTTTTGTCTCCTAAATATTATTTTTTATTTTTATCAATTTTTTATCTCCTAAATATTATTATAAATCATATTTTTTTTAATTTTATCAAATTTATATCTCCTAACTATAATTTTAAATATAATTTTCAACTTTTTTCTGAGACACCTAACTTAATCAAACTATTAATTGGAAAGGATCTTATATGCGCTAACGATTATTTATGTAGAAACATACCTAAACATCTTTATAATACAATTCATCAGTTTGGTCAATATACGCTTGAAGCAATCAAGGAAACCTATATGGTTCAACATAATACCGAGGAGTGGTATGAATGTGGAATTGGAGTTATTACGGAATGATCCCAATCATATTTTATCTCCTAAATATTATTCTAATTAATATTTTTATATTTTATCAACTTTTATCTCATTAACATTATTTGAAATATTATTTTCGATTTTTTATCAATTTTTTATCTACTAACTATTATTTTAAATTTTATTTTCGATTTTTATCAGATTTTTATCTCCTAAATATTTTTTTTTGATTCTCTTATCAAATTTTTATCTCCTATATATTATTTTAAATATTATTATCGATTTTCATCATATTCTCCTAGATATTATTTATAATAACCGGATTTGCGACTTTTACAAGAACAGGGTAAATAAATCTGATTTTCACCCCTTAGCGGATTTTTGTGACATCGTTTTACAAGAATGTCTGCAACATTTGAATTTTATTTCTTCCCTACTTAAGGCTTCTTCTTTTGGTAACCCGAGTTTAGATTTTGTTTCTTATCTTCTTCTTTATCCTATTGACTGGGTGGCAATTAGTTTACATCTTTTTCCATCATGGCTTATAGGTAATTTCATTTTGTTAAATTATGTATTTCATTAATTTATACCAAAGTTTTCAAATTTTATGTATAACAATTATTTCATTTTATATGTTATTGGACATGTTATTAAAAGGGATGATTTGAGAAAATTAACCAAAAATGGGCGTAGCCACAAGCTATTGGAAGTCGACATTCAAGACTTATTGTTTGTATGCGATATTTAATTTATTGTTTGTATTTATTTTTGTTTCTTAATTTTCCAATTGTTAATTCCAGTGGCAAAACAGCCTTAAAATGAGGCTGTGGAGAAGGGCTTAGTTCCGATGCAAGATATATAGATGGTCTTTTACGATGGTATGTTGTCGATAGTTTAGTTTTGATTATGTTAACTTAGTTTATTAAATCTAATTACTTTTAAGCTCAACATGAAAGACATAATTGATGATTTTTTTCCTGGTTTAAATTTTCAATCTACTGGTATTAGCTGATTCAATTCATTTAGAAAATTATTCAACAGTAAAGTTATGTCCTTTTTTTTGTGTGTAGTATACTTAATAATGTTCCAGTATAATAGAATTTTGATCATACGATACATCAAACGTTTGTTTATATTCGTACAATATCAAAACAATGCAATTTGTTGTCCCGTGCATCGCACGGGTACAATTACTAGTATTGTTAATTAAAATATTAATTGCAACAATTATTAATAAACTTCACCATTTAAAAATGTAAAGAATGCTCAATTAAACATAAAAAAAAATGCATAACTTAATTCAAAATCACTTATGTTATTAAATCGATATATGTTTATTTAGAAGAAGAAAAAAATTATAACTCATTCCAATTAATAGTTTTCTTACTTTAAAATAAAGTTATATACTACAAATACTATATTGTGAATTTTATTTTAATATTTAATTTAATCAAATAGTAAGATTTGAATCGATTAAGTTCAAATCCTTTCAATGGTAAATATTATTCAAATATTTGAATCGGTTGCTTAACTATTGACATGACGTGTTACATAATTGATTTAACTATTTATAAGTAATGTCTAATATCTTTTTAATTCAATTTTGTCATAAAAAATAATAAATTTAATTCCTAACACATGTAATAATGGAGAACCTAATCATAAATCGTAATGTTTTATCAAAGCGTAATATTTGAACCAATTAGGCTCAAGACCTTTCAATTCGTAAACATTATTCAAATATTTGAATCGATTAATTAGCGCGCTCAACTATTGACTAGAACGTCTTAATCAAATTAACTATTATTAATTAATTAAAGTGTAATACATTTTTAATTCAAATTTATCATAAAAAAATAATTCCTAAATTACGTAAGAATCAAATCATAAGATTAATTAAAGCGTGTGATTTGAATCAATTAAGCGCAAATCCTTTTAATTTGTAAATATTATTCAAAATTTTGAATCGATTAAGTTCAACCACTGACAAGAACGTATTAATCGAGTTAACTATTTATAATTAAAGTCTGTTATCCTTTTAATTCAATTTTAACAAAAAGATAATAATTTAATTCGTAAAATTGTAAGAATCAAATCGTAAATCGTAAGATTTTATCTAACCATGAACCAATTAAATCTTACGAGTTTTACGAAATAATTTTTATTATTTTTTATGATAAAATTCAATAAAAAAAAGATACTAAACTTTAACTATACATAGTTTGATTAATACGCTATTGTAAATTATTGAGTTTAACCTATTCAAATATTTGAATATTGTCTACGAATTGAAATGAGTTGAGCTTAATCGATCAAATTTTTTAATATTGTTTTTGAATTGAAAACACGTGAGTTTAATTGATTCAAATATTACGATTTAATTAAATCTTACAATTTACGAATCAATTCAAACTTCAAATTCTTTCGAAATTCATTTTTAAAATACACGAGTTGATCAGCATTTCCTTAGATTTTTAAATTATATTATATAAAAATTTGTTAGTATGGGATATTTTTAATATATAATAATAATTATATGAGAATGAATAATTTATTTAACATTATTTATATAAGTTTTATAACCATTATAAATTGTAGCTTTGTGATATATATCCCGTATTGTTACTTTATTGTCAAATATGTGTTGTGTCTTAATGGTAATTATTCTTGTATGTTTTTAGATGGTCACAAGTTTGAATTAAGGTTGATGCAATTTTGGATGGGTGGTTTAATGATTTTTATGAATAATGGATATAATTGACTTTATAAATTTTAATTCAGCAATAAATATAGATTTAAAATTGCATTAAAATAGAGAGGGTAAAATTGACATTTCATTAATAATTTATAATTGCCGATTTTTTTAAAAATAATTATTGTACAAAGGGTATATGCGACAGTACATAAATGAGGAAAAAATAGTTTTTTTGTTGGGACACGTGTCGCAATTTGAAGGGGTATCTCATATAAGTTTAGAACACATGATCTGATGGTAGAAACACCCATTTGTTTAATCTTGTTTTATCTCCGAAACCAGACGAGCTTAAATTAGTAGCTACGCACAATGCGATTAATCTTATAATCACAACTTAATTGCTCTTTAGAAGAACTTAAAAGGTAACTCACATTCCGATTATTGTTGCCAAAATTGCCAGCTAACCCCAAAAAACTTGTTTACATTTCCACCCCTCAAAAACAGAAAAATTACAAATCCATCCTCAAATTAATCCAACAGTTACCAAAACTCGCCCCAATCTATCACCGGCGTCGCCCATCGGCGTACTGAGAAAGCGGCACCACCTCCTGCAGCGGCGTAGACATCGGCGTAGGCAGCGGCGAGTTCCGGCAGACAGGGCAAGACGCGTTGAGCTTCAGCCACGCGTCAACGCACATCGCGTGGAAACAGTGCTTGCAGTCCGGCAGCATCCTCAGCACCTCCGATTCGCGGTACTCGCACAGGCAAATCGAGCAAACGGCGTCGTTCCCCCAATTTCCGCTCCTCTTCGCGAAGACGAGCTTCGGGTACGAGTTGATAACCGCCTGGTCAAGTCCGATGACGCCGTTCTGAGGCTCGCTCTCGTCGACGAAGATTGTGCTGGGGAGGTAGATGCTGTGCTCGCCTGAGCGATTGCGGCGGTTCTGATTTTGAATCTGCAGGTCGTGGCGGCGGCGGCGGGCGGCGGCGGAGGATCGGCAGCAGATGTAGAAGGCGAGGACGATGGAGGAGAAGAGTACGAGGAATCCGAGGGCGATCGCGAAGGAGTAGCCGAATCCGATGGATCGGAGGTTTTTGGAGAAAGAGGCGGATTTAGCGGAGGAGATCAAGGGCGGCGGCGGCGGAGGAGTGGTGGACATTGAGAAAAGAGAGTGGCGATGGGGGTGGAAAATGCCATCTGAATGGGGGGTGGGGGTGGGGGTGGGGGGGTGTGTTGAGCAGCAGCATTTAATACTTTTAGTTTGGAAACAGAGCAAACTCATTTAATGGCCAACATGGGGTGATGCAACTTCTATACATTTTTTTGGGCTTAGATTTTTGTTACGTACTTTTTGGGATTTGGGATTTTCAATTTTATTATTTAAACAATTTATGTCCCATATTATATATCTTTTTAGAGAGTTTTTTTTGTCCCAAATTATTTGTCATTTTAGATTTTTAATGTATCATTAATTGCACTATTTTCAACTTTACCCTTTATCACTCTTAATTAGTTAGTGTAAAATAATTAATGTCAAGGATATATTAGTATTTTCCTATGTTTTTCACTATAATCTATGCACATTTATTGATTTTCTTAATACGTGTGCAATAACCCAAAACGTCACTTAAATTGGGACGGAGGGAGTATATTTTACGTTTTTTCATGCCAGAAATAAATAAGATTTTTTATTTCTTTTTTCTAAACATATTAACTCCAAGTAGAAAAATAACTACGAGTAAGTGATTGAATCGAATTTGGGCCTTAATTAACGATAAATGTTTAAACCATCGGATTCAAAATGTGGGATCCAATTGGATATATACACAAATCTAGAAATTCTACAAAGACATGTGAAAATAAGCTTTATGTCACAAGTTGCAACTTAGAGCTCATTTAACTAACTTTATTTCAAGCAGCTGATAAGTTGTTCAATATCTGATAAGTTGTTACGTATTATTTTTAGAATTAATTTTTAAAGTGTTATAAAAATGAGTTTATAACCTATTTTCAGACAAAATCTTAAATAAAAAACAGGATAAGTGTATTTTGGAAAAAAAAAATATCTTAAATGCTCTAGAACTTCTTATATTTTAAGTTTCAAGATTTTTTTCAAAACAATTACTAAACACTTTAGAAAAATGTATAAGCTCTTAAACATATAAGCTCTTTTTAACAGCTTGTAAGCATAACCAAGCACGGTCTTAGTTTGAAACAGTTAATTACTCGTCTACCCAACAAAATATATTTTTTTCTTAAATAAATATTAGGGTAATGATAGTTGGCCAGAACCTGGCCGGCCAGAAAATGGTATTTACGTAATTATGAGGAAAGTAAAAAAGCCGATTTACTAATTTACCCTCAAATTAGAATATTTGAATTAAAATGTATTTAGTTTCTCTCTCTACATTTAATTATTATAATTTGAAAGTTCAATGCATTAAATATCATATTACAACCCCAACAACTAACATCAATTCATCTAATCTACAAGAATCGAAATTTTAAATCTTCTTAATGTTTTCATCTTCTTTATGAAACAAGCTTAAATTCTTAAAAAGTTAAACTTCAGATTTTTTTTTATGAAATAAACACTAAGTAATGAACAATTTGAGTCAAACAAGGAAAAATGAACTATATATCTAAAAGAGGAGATAATAACATTCACACTATAGGTAGACTGAAGTCAAAGTAGCTATTTCCACCTAACAAAAACTCCCACCAATAATTAAATCATTTCAAAGATTTTGTAAGTGTGGAAAAAAGAGAGGTTACGTACAACCAAATGAAAGCACATAATTTGAAAATGTGTCTGCCAAAAGGACAAGAGTGTATTGAGCGCGCGGGGTCTTGTTTGTTTTCTTTTGATTTGTCAAAGGGAAAGTTCACACTTCTATAACACTGTTTCCAATTCTCTATGAATTGAGCCCTCCCCTACTAATTGACCTAATAATCACTTCTTCTTCTTCAATTCTTTTTTTCTTTTTCTTTTTTCTTTGATTAGATTAAATATAAATACATTGACCATATATATAGGCCACAATAAACAAAAACCCTAGTTCATCAAGAACTTAATGACATAAAAAACACACACACTTCATTTAGGTAGCAACAAAAACTACCCGGCAAGCGCCGAGTCTAGGAGAAATTAAACAAGGCTCTCGGGCATGCACCGATCCGCCGCCTATAAACTGGAGACTAGATCGAATTTTAATTGGGATCATTCATAACCGATTCTTCAACCCAGCTACAAGCGTTGAAAACCGGGTCTATAACCACCCCTAGTCGCAAAATCTCCTCAAAGATGTCATCATCATGAACATTAAGCATAAACGCACATTGACACAAAGGCATCCTTTCACTTGTCGTCCGAGAACGAATTATCGGCTCTGAGGCATCATAATCTCACGTGTCGATTCCTCTCCTTCAAATCATACACCGAAATCATCTAATGCAATGTGCTATAATGCATATTCCCATATATGTTGGATTTTGGCCCAAATATGTTCTGGGCCATAAAGCCCAATTGCCATCATTTTATATACACCACCATACTGAGTTAAGCCCAAGTTATTATAAGTGAGCCCAGTCCATTTCAGAGCCAGATCCATCCGTTGGATTTCAGGCTTAATCTGGACCGTTCAGTATCTCACTTAAATAGCATTTTCTCTCTCTTCGTTTCTCTCACTCCGAAACCCTAACTCTTACCCTTTCTTCTCCGCCGCTCCTGCTTCTGTCTTCTTCCTCCCTTGTACTGCCTTGACTGAGTTATGGCTGGAGGTCAAAGTGCACCGTACAGTGCTGACTTTGACCCTCCGGTACAGCCTTCACCGGCTCTCTTTGACTTCAGTCCCTATATATGTTGGCATGAAGGCTGGAAAAGGATAAGATACAGATAAACCCTAATCCGACCTAAATCCCTCCGTTTTCTTCTTTGTGAGTTCAGAAATTGGGGTTTTGGTGAGTGGGTTAGCTTGAGTGCTTGATCTGTTCTTCCTTCGTGGTTTCTGGGTAATTTAGGGTTTGAGTGTTGTGAGAGAGAAAGGAGATCTGTTCTCCTTGAGGTACTCTGGTGGTATATATTTGAAAGTGTGAATCTCTGGTGTGAAATTGGAAGACTGAGCTGAAAATCTCAATCTATTTGTTTTCCCAATTTATTCATACCTTGTATTCCTTTTCTTTCTTTTATACTTTCATACCTATATATATATATATATCTATTCTCCTTGGCAGTAATTAATACTGCATAAGGGAAATACATATAATTTACAGTAGGTTGTGAATGGAGCTTGGCAATTTGATACCCTACAATATATCGCTCCAATATTTGTAACCCTCTCCAAACTCCGATCACAAACATCAATTTGATTACGTAATTAACCTAATTTTTCGAGTGATTAATTAACTAATCCACCTACAGGCCACGTCACATGACAAAGGGCTTTTTCTAGAAAGAGAAACACGTATTCAAAAGTTGGAAGTCAATAACCAAAGTCACTAAATTGATTATTGTGGAGAACATAAGTATTACTCTACTTATTATTATTATTTGTTTAATTGGAAAGGTTAGAAATATTTTATTTTTTTCATTTGGTGAATCCCCGGACACAAATGTTGACTACACTACTTTGTAGTCAAAGGCGAGTGTCAAATTAATTAATTTATTTTCAATAATGGTACTCGCAGCTAACTGTATAGGTGTAATTGTAATCCTACACTTTTGTATAATAGTTTACAAATTATACGAGATGCGTAAGTCACACTAGGTTAACCGGTACCATGTATGACAAAATCGACCTAACAACACCAACAAATGGATTCAACTTAAGCCGCTTATCACTATTACTTCAACCGTACCGTTGGGCCATTTCGTACGGGGCTACACAACTTGAAATTATTTGAATGTTTCAATACTATGCTAGAATTCATTTTTTTTTTTTAATTTACATTCTCTAGTTTTGAAATTTTGAACTGGATATGCTCTTGTATAAATTTATTTTAGTTTCATCAAAGAACTATTTCAAGCTAAATTATTACGTACGTGCATGCACACGATACACTCACATGCACACGCACACGCACACGCACATATAGAAATCGAAATTAATATCATAAAAAACGTTTTTAATTACAAAAAGAAAAGCAATTAGTAGCCATATAGGTGCACTGGGTAAACCTACACTCTCGACCTAGCGACCGTTGGCAAGGGGATTCGAACTTGGGTCAATTGACCCAAGCTCTCTTGCTCCAACCGCTAGGCCACCCTTGCGGGTATATACTTTATTTTTTAATAATATGGATGATGGATTATTAAACAAATCAGTAATCACAACCACGCAAACCAAAAAAAAAACAAATTAAAAATCCAAAACACAACAAGCCGAATATAAATAATATGTATACACCAAAAATTACATAAATTAATTATTTTCTAATATTCTATATTAAAAAAATTCAAAATTATATTAAAGCTTGACCTTTCGCTTACACTTCTGTTCCTGAATCGCCTGGCTGGTAATATTAATCGTCATGCTACAATTCATCCTGACCGTCAGATGTTTTTTGATCATCAGCATCTTAACCCTCCCACCGACCACCGTATAAGTACTCATCGTCAGCAGACCCGTATTTATATCCGTACCCAAATCCGGGTTCGACAGAACCCGATCCGTTATCACTTCCACAGTCACGTTCATCCTCATCGTCCGACGCGCCCTCGCGCTCCCCGGCGGCCCACGCGCCTCGCCAATCACTGCCCCGCGGTAGTACAGCGTGGTCGTGGTGTTCATGTACCTGAACGACGCGTGGTTCGGGTTCTTCACCGAAACGTCGGCGTTTAGGGTCATGTTTGACCCTGGCCGTGGTGTTGTCGTGGTGCCGTTGACCAAGTCGAGGTTGAGTACGGTGACCTTGTTCATGCGGATGACTGGCTCTTTGACTTTGAACACTGTGAAGATTAGGATGACGACGACTACGGCTTGGATGAGGATGACCGCGGCGGCGCAGCCGCAGCATTTCAGGCACCGCCTGCGGCGGATTCCGGTGACGGTCGCGGATTCGTCGTCGCTGCTGGTGTGGCGGTCGTAGGCGGGGGCGAGTGGGCGAACTTGCTCCGACGTCTCCACCATTGTTGAGGAATATTTAGGTTTGTGGATTTTAATTTGCAGGTTCAGTTTTCCTTTTGATTTGTTTATATATATAGTGGTTAGGTTAAATATCGTGAATTAATGATGAGAAATTGTTAAAAGTGTGGAATTTAATTAATTATAGTGGTGGGGTTTGTGGAAAATTTGGCCTACTTTTTTTGATTTTTGTATGCTAAAATTAATTAATTAATATTGACTTGTCCTTTTTCTTACATCGTATTTTGTTTATTTCCTGCTGAAATATAATGATAGGTTACTCAGTTTGAAATATATGTCTGAACGAAATTAAGGTCATAATTATGGTTAGCACAAGTCCACAATTCCTGTTTCCCCAACCCACAATATATATTTATTTATTAAATTCAAGGGTAGATTACATACGGGGTTGTCAATGCTACCATTAAAGGGACCGATATGCACTATATTTGTTTCATACGGGGTTGTCAATGCTACCATAGATGAAAATTTATAAATCATATATAAAATAGGGTTAATTTCATTTTTTTCCCCTTGTACTTTAGCTCGATATCAATTTATCCTCTTCTACTCTTGATTGCATCGATTTGCTTCATTGTACTTCAAAAATTGTCTCAATGTGGTATCACTGTTAGTTGTTAGACGATTTACCTTAGCACCGTTTAATCTAAGCTCTAAAATTACGAAAAACGCCACATCTCCCAGTTTAAATAATTATTAAAAAACGAAAAATAAATAAATAAACAAAAAATAATATAATAAAAAATTTAAGACAATGATAAAACATAGTCCACTACGCCGTCCACAATTTTCTTTTTAATTATTATTTAAACTGAGAAGGGTGATTTTTCGGTAATTTTCAGAAGGTTGCGGCTATATGCAAGACTAATTTCACTTGTGTAATACCAATTAAAATACCCTTACTTGTTAAAAAAATAGAAAGTTCCAAATGTGCAATACCAAAAAAAAAAAACTTTATCACAAAAACACAAGACCAACTCATCTTCTCAATCAAAACCCACAAAACCTAAATCCTTCCTCATCTATAAACCCACGAAACCTAAACATTCAAAATCATCAAAACTCAACAAATCTTACAAAGATGGCAAGTATGGAGTCATAAGACATCAAAATAGAAGAATTTACGGTGGAAAAACCCAAGAAAATATGCATTTATGTGTTTTTTTAGCTAGAATATCGTTTTTCCAAAAAAAATCCCGCGCAAACGCAGTCGACATGTACATGTCAAATTTTATAGGCAAAAATTGACATTGAGATGTCGATTTTTTAGTACAAAATCGACACCTCAGTGTCGAAATTTAACTGTTAGCAAAGTAGTCAAAATATACTAAATTTCGACATTAAGGTGTTGAATTTATTGACATATATTCGACACCTTAATGTCGAAATTTGTTGTTTCATATATATATTTTTTTAAATCCCGCGCAGACACGGCCGACATGTACATGTCGAATTTTATAGGTAAAAATCGACATTGAGACGTCGATTTTGGAGTACAAAATCGACACCTTTTGTGTCGAAATTTAACTGTTAGCAAATTAGTCCAAATATACTAAATTTCGACATTAAGGTGCCGAATTTATGAACATATATCCGACACCTTAATGTCGAAATTTAGTTGTTTCATATTCTTTTATTATTTGTTATTTGGTCTTGCATGAGCAAACAAAAGCCAATTTAATTTATGGGTATATTTGTCATTTCATTTTAATAAAATGGAATCTTTTGGAATCTTTCTTTAATTTGGTCTTGCACAAGTCGAATTAGTATTGCATATAGTCGCAGCCTTTTCAGAATTAGATCAAACGGTGTTAATGTCAAAGGTTTGAAAACTAACGGTGATGACCACATTGAGACAATTTTTCAAACACAGTGGGGCAAATCAATGCAATCGAGAGTATAAGGTGGTAAAGTGATATCGAGCCAAAGTACAAGGGAGGAAAGTGGAATTTACCCTACAACATAATAAGGATTTAAGAAATGTTGGGGGAGACATGTCACCCCCTAGCTTTATGCCGTCTCCACCACTGCCTGAAACTAATAGACCGTTAGAATCCTAACGGAATAACTTATCCACATGCATTATTTCGTTAGAGTTTCTAACAATGTTTCAGAGGAGTGATTGTAATTATCGATACTATATGGACCTTAAAGTTACTTTTGTATATCTCAGGGGTGTAGTGTATAATTTACCATAAATTTAATAGAACCTTCTTCAAGGCGTGCATACAATTGAATGCCCTAGCACTCAGTAGCCCAACACGTGTTACCAGTCACCATATCCATCTAATCAACGGTTGATTTACGTTGTTCATTTTATTTTATTTTTGTATTATTTTATTAATATAGTTTCTGATTGGGCTTTACTAAGGAATCCGAAGGCCTACTAACGACAAGTTAAAGCCAGATCCTCTCTTTTATTAGTGGGCTCATTTGGACTTTGTGAACCGGCCGGCTCAATGTACACATGCTGAAACTCGATTATTGATTAATCTAGCTCGAGTCATTCTTAATTATTTACATACCCATTAACGGGAAGTTAGATGCTTCACTTGATTATTTACATTAGGTGGATTTGAACCGTATATCTAAACATAATCTCAAACACACACACACACACCAATGTATATGTATACTTTGCGAGTAGGTATTTAATTAAATTTAAGATTCAAATCCAACTTCCCACATTTACTAATTTGTGAAGATTTAATCACTCTAATTATAAATATATGTAGTAACAACAATAATACTTTAAATTAAACAAAGGTTGGAACTTGAAGATTGGACTCGTCTAAATTCGAGCTCGGGCTCGAGCAAAACTACACAAATATTTACGTACAAACACACCCAATTCTTAACGTGTGGAAGGGCATTAAATTTTCCTAACAAAAAAGACTCGAACATTTATTGATCTACCGTGAAATCTAATTTGATCTAGCATAAATTTAATAAAAAAAACTTAGATGCTACACCTAGTTATTTACACTGAATAGATTTGAACATTAAATATACACATAATCACACGTGCACCCATATATAAAAGTATTTGTAGTTATTTAATTAAATTTACCTTTCAAATCTGAACTATCAACAATTTTGCACCCCATAGAAGTAGGAATGCAAAAAGTAACCAAGCAATCAATCATAATCATTAATCAAAATGGCACACATAAGATTAATTAATAAAAACCATTTAACTATATGATCATTAATTAACACACATCCAATTAATTAATAAATAAACAAATCCAATCGCATCTATGCTTTTTACCTCTACAAGGATCTTTTATGATTAGAGATTTAATTAAATGTATACGTTACTCTCAAAAAAAAAAAAAAGAAAAAGAAAAAGAGAACACTCTCATTTTTTCAAGATTCTTTACAACTTTCAACCGAACAAAAAAGTTGTCTCTGTACTACAAAATGGAAAGAGAAGTGAGCCACAAGAAAAGCATCATTCCCCACCCAAGTCAACAACCACCTCCGGCAGCGGCGGCAGCACCGCTGGCGGCGGTTCCGCTACTTGCAAGCCAAGGGAACTGCAAACTCGTCGATAATCGATCGGTAGTACTAAAGCACTCCCCACCTTCCTCCCCATCTAAATCATCCAACCCCGCGAAGAAACTGTCGTCCAACGCCATATTCGACGGGCTGAGATCGTCGTCTTCGTCATCGAGATCCACTCCGGCGGCAAAATCCTCCTCCGGCTGGCTGCTGTCCTCCAACATTTCCGACGAGGAAGAGGCCGCTTTCTTGGGCTCGTCGGAGTTGGGAGCCTCGGCGGGCTTGTTGCGGCTGCTCCCGGCGAGAGAGTTCCGGTGGGTAGGCACCGGGTGGTTGTGCTCCGCCGTGTAGGTGATTACGAACATTCCCGGGTCGGATTTATTCCGCTCCACTTGCTTTCTTGCCATACATCCTGTTAACGTGCTGCATTTGTAATAACCCCTGTTTCCACAAATATAATTAATCATTAGTTATGTTGAATAAATAAATACACCCTTTATTCAAGAATCATTATTATTATAGTACTTAAAAATGTAAACAAATCAAGTCGAGCCGAGCACGAATTATGTTGAACAAAATAAAAATAAATAAACCCTTTATTCCTATTTATGTACCTCACTTGAATAAATCAAGTAATGTAAAAATCGACTCGAGTCAAGCCGAACACGAATTAAACTTGAGTAGCTTAACTTCAAGCTACTCCAGTTTCATGTCGATCTTTCTAACTCATCGGACGAAAATATATGTTCTAAACTTGTTCATTACATATATATGAATAAACGAAGCTCAAACGAGCTATTAACGAACAATCTTGAATCGAGTATTCAGTAGTTTGATTTTATTAATTTCAAGCCCCCCAATTAACATCATTAATGAATTAATTATCAAATAATTAATGAGAGAAATTAAATAAAAGAAGAAGAAACAAACCTAGGATAAGGAGAGCCCTTGATTGGTTTTTGGCCATATTTTCTCCAAGACCACATGTCTGAAGATAAACCCTCTGCAGATACATGACAAACCTTCTTCAATGGGTTCTTCCTGCAAATATTTAATCATAAAATTAATTAAAAAAAAAATATTATTATTAAATAGAATTTAGATCCATATATTAACACAAACCCATTATTTTGTTTTCAATCAATTTCAATAATCATTTAAAAAAAATACTAAAAATCAATTTTCACACACATACACACACCTATAGATATAATTATAAAGTTAATAAAAAAAATCATTATTAAATATTAGAAATTAGATCCATATTTAAACACAAACCCATTATTTCCTTTTAAGTCAATTTCAATAATTAAATTAAAATAAAATAAAATAAAATCAATTTTTCACACACAGACACACACACACACCTTTTCTTGGACCTTGGATTGGGGTGATGAGAAGAAGTAGGTTTGGAGCCATTAACAACAGAAAAGAGCTGATTTTTGTGATGAATCTGTGTTTTCGGAGGTGGCTGTTTAACTACAGCTTGCTCAAAAGATAGATCTTGCAAACCACCAAGAACAGAGAGTGGTGAAACCGGTAATAATCTTTGTGGTGGAATAAATAATGCTTTTTCTGAATTAATTGTCTTTTTTGGGAAGAAGGGTTTGCAGAGATCGTGCAGCTCTTCTGAGGAATTATTCTCTCTTCTCGGCTCGAACAGCAGATCTTGTAAGCTACTGCAATCTTGGTCGGAGGTGGTGCTGAAAAGTTGGGTGCGAGGTGTTTGTTCGGCGGCGGCGGCGGCGGCGGCGGTGGTGGTGGTAGTGGAGGAGGTGCAGCTTCTGACCACCGCGTGGAGATCCCAGTCATCCTCCATTTCCTCTGTTCTTTTTTTTTTCTGTTCTTTGCTGTGAAGAGACAAAAAGAAGGCGCTGACTTTTGTAGAGAGAGAAAGTGGATGGTGGTGGGAGTATTGTTTTCTCTCACTAGGAATTTAGAGAGAGAGAGAGAGTTGGGTGGGATTTTGGTGATTTTGGTGGTTGACTTTAGAAAATGTCAAAGGGGGTTTATAAAATGTTCACGCGTTTTTATGAAGGGGGTGGGGGGGTCAAAAAGCTGGGTGCCCACTTGCCGACAAGGAGAATTCGAGGCAAGCCACGTGGGGTGGTGCTACTCTCGAAATTAATGCGTGTGATGCACTCGACTCTCTTGCGGCTGCATTAGTATTTTTCTTTATTTTTTCCCGTTCATATTATACCATGGGTAAACTGCTTATTGACGTACAGTCAATTTATGAAAAATTCATCTTATTTGTATAATTACATCTACCCATTAATTATAATTTTTCTTTACACTTAAATATTTATGTTATAAAATTCAACATAATCATATAGATTACATGGAATATGCTCTATTGCAATCGTTTTGTATAAAAATAGAGTTTCTGATGCACCACAATCTGATATATACAAGCCAAAAAATACATATTATGATCATCTTGCTTCAAAATGTGGAGTTCGAATTGGATAAAGCGGATACAAAAGTGTTAATATTCCATATAATCTCGAAGATTCCACTAAATTTGAACTGCAAGGGTGGACGTGTAAGAAGATGTATAGATGATGAGTAGTTGTAATTACCCAAACAAGATGGTGGTTTTCGTAATTTGACCATACCTCATGGATGATTGTAATTTGCCCTTATATTATTATGTACTCATTTGACCGACAAATACATAATTCTGCCGATTTTGATTTCCGAATTCGCAAATTTTCAATTTCTGATATTTAATTTCGATCGGATGGAATTGAAATTCATATTAGATTTCGATCGAATTTGAGATTAAGAATATAATTTCAAAAGTTTCGATCTTTTTTTCTTCCAAAAACTATGCTTGCAGTACCGCTATTGCTGTGTATTTTATTTTGTAGATAAAAGAATTTTAAATTTTTGAATCCCCATTGCCAAATGTTCGATTTAGGAATAAAAATTATCATTCCAATTGTAGAAGTTGTTCGAAATAGAGTTTTTTCACTTAAAAAAAAAAATCGGAAAGTTCGCTAATTGTGATTATTCACCCTTCTATTAATATATTTTAATGTATAAAACATAATTAACTTTATTTCCCATAGTTTGGTCAATATTTATGGAAAAATTCAATTATATAGTAAAGAAACATAGATAATAAACACAAAATATTATAAATGGTAAATTACACTAACACCCCTGAGGTATGCTTAAATAACTTTAAGGTCCATGTGGTATCGATAATTACACTCACCCCCTTGAAACGTAGTTATAAAATCTAATGGGATAATGCATTGGATAGTGTTATAACGGACTATTGGTTTCAGGAAGTGGTGGAGACAACAAAGAGTTATGGGTGATCTAAAGAAAAGTGAATTTATTCTTAACACGCATTGAGCGGCGCGTATGATGCACCACTTGTCAACGTCGTTGACTCTATAGCTTCGATGGACGGCTATGAGCGAAGCATTTCACACTTGGACGGCTGGAGATGTGGAAAGCTTCATGAGGTCATCGTGACGTGGCATGATGTTTGCAGATCAAGCGGGTCCCACTTCGGTAAAAGTCACACGTGTGTACCGTGGTCATAAAACCTGCTTTTTTACGTCAATGTACAGATTTGCAGCAAATAAACAGAAAATCTACGGCTCAGAATTGTACGTCTGATTTTTGGATTATCTGATCATGTCAACGAAATATAATCAAAATTAAATTAAATTAATTAAAGGAAAAACAAATAGATAACAATGAAGAGAATCAAATAAATATTTAAGACCTAAAGAAAATGATATAATGCAACTATTTTAATATCATTATTTGTGCTAAAAATCGTGGTGATAAAATGCACCAAAGAATAACTACTCACATATATTTAGATATCGTGTAGCTAAACTTATCTTAAAAAATACTAGCATTTTCCCCCGTGTATTATTTAAATAGTGAAAAAATAATCAATTTAATACATAATAAGAAAATATAGTATACTAATATAATAAAATTTAATAATGTAGTTGATGATGCTAACGTTAGATCACCTCAAGTAGTTGAAGTAGGATGAGCTGGAAGAGCAGAGTGGATCACTGGCTCACGAGCTTGATGACCTTCAGATACCTGCGATCATAGAACACGTGAACTAGGCCGGGGTTGATCCGGCGGAAACCCCTCGGACGCTCAAGTCAGACGTGCTGATAGTACAAATACTCCAGAGAATACATTTAATAGTATTGCTCAGATAATAGGACGTACCTTAAGGAATGAGTTCCAATGATTATTTATAGCTTAGTGGAGATTGTCGGACCCAAACCTTACTTGAAGGTGATTGAGCCTCGGTAGTAGTGGTCTTCAATATTGGGCTCGTGGCCCAGTAGGTAAAGAGATTGTAGGCTTATTGGGTTGGCCCAAATAGGCATATCATTAAGCCCCCCACTCTCGAGTCGATGTGGTGGCCATGTTGAAATGAGTGTCAGATCGTGTCGAGAGTAAAAATTGTAGGAGTCGATCATTGGCGTATGGCCTAATGGTGTGCGAAAACGCGTTGGAGCGTGTGTCGGAGGGGAGTGAAGGTGCGTTGGCCGTAGCGCGACTAATTTGTCGCGATATAAGTTACTTGAGTCGTCGGTGTTGTCCCGCCACGATGTAGTAGCTCGGATCAAGTTATCTCCTCGTGGGAGTTGTCTCGTCGTGGGGTAAGAATTGATCGAGTTATCTCCTCGTAGGAGCTGTCTCACGATAATGTAGTAACACAGAGCTCGTATTCTCCTCGTGGGAGTTATTATTTATCGATATTGTCACTGTTTTGACGCGTTGCTTGTATGTGTTTACATATAGCCTTGTGCGTGATGTACTTAAGGAGGGGATTAGGCTCTCAAGATTTTTGTATGGGGATCGTCCCACTTGTTAGACCTCGAGGGTTGTAAGTATGTTTGGACCGTGGCCATGTTTTAATGAAGGACCCATCGAAAACAAGTAGATAAATTTTGAGTAATCAAGCTGGCCCGGCTATATAGATTCCCATAATATATCTAAGTGTTTCTAGGGTTGTAATCGTGCTAACTTGAGCTTGCGATTATATAGTGAATTTCGGGGGAGTTGTCTGCTCATGGGAGTTGTCTAGCAGCGAAGTTATAGGAGCATTGGACACGCGACTGGGGAGTATGCGGATTCAGGTCGCTCTGAGCGAGTAGTCTCCTTGTTGGAGTTGTCTCACATCGAGTCTTATTACCGAGCGAGGTGCCTCCTCGTGGGAGTTGCCTTACAACGGGTTCGTAGTGCCGAGCGATTTGGCTCCTCGTGGGAGTTGTCTCGCTGCGGGTTGGTAGTATCGAGCGAGTTGTCTCCTCGTGGGAGTTGTCTCGCTGCGGGTTGGTAGTACCAAGCGAGTGGTCTCCTCGTAGGACGGAACGAGTGGTCTCCTTGTGGGAGTTATCTCGCTGTGGTTTTGAGACCCGAGGGAGTTGGCTCCTCGTGGGAGTTGTCCTGCAACGGGTTATAGGACGGAGCGAGTGGACTCCTCGTGGGAGTTATCTCGCTGTGGTTTCGTAGACCCGAGGGAGTTGGCTCCTCGTGGGAGTTGCCTCGCAACGGGTTATATGTCCTAGCGAGTTATCTTCTCGTGAGAGTTGTCTCGCTACGGGTTGTAGTTCCGAGCGAGTTGGCTCCTTGTGGGAGTTGTCTCGCTGCGGGTTCGTAATACCGATGGAGTTGGCTCTTCATGGGAGTTGTCTCGCAACGGGTTTGTAGGACCGAGCGAGTTTGCTCCTCGTGGGAGTCTTGCAAGCTCCCCACTCTCGATTCAATGTGGGAGCCAAGTCGAAAATAATACCAGATCGTGTCGAGAGTATATCGGTGTCGTGGTGTACCGATAACTGTTGGCGTGGTGTGGAGAAATAATATTTTTTATTTATCCGTTTGAGAGCGCGCGCGAATTGGCGAGGCGCGTTGGAGAGCTCGCGCAATTTGGTGTAGCGCGTTGAAATTCTCGTGCGATTTGGTGAAGCGAGTCAAAATCTACGCGCAATTTGGTGGAAAGTAGTCAAAGTTGCGCGCGATTTGATGGGAGCGCGCGGTCCAAGGGCGCCTTGGGAAGGCGCGCGCGTGCTTGCGCGCACTTTACTAATTTTTCTCTCTGCTGACGCGCGAGCGTGCTGTGCACGCGCGCCTCTTTTTTTTTTTTTTTTTTTTCCTTTTCCGCAGACGCGCGCGTCAGGCGAATGTAGGCCACGCGCGCGTGCTGTGCACGCGAGCCTCTTCCTTTTTTTTTTCTTTTTTTTTTTTCGCATGACGCACGCGCGCCTCCTTTTTTTTTTTTTTTCCTTTTATGTTTTCTTCTTCTTCTTCTTCCTTCTTTCTTTCTTCTTCTAATTTTTTTTCTTTTACTCTCTTTTTTCTTCTTCTTGTTCTTAGGTCTAGCGCGTGCGATTTGATCCCTTTTTTTTTTGTGGTTGACGCGCGCGGCTGGCGCGTGTAAGCCACACGCGCGTTTCTTCTTTCTTTATTTTTATTTTTATTTTTAGGTGATTGATGTTCACCCCTTTGGGGATATTCTATTTTTTGAGTAGGGAGATTATACTCGTTTCTTGAGATGGGATGTGCACCCACTTGGGGTTGAAAGGTAAGGGTGATGCCAACCTTAGGATGGGATAGTCCCCCACGTACTTTAGGATGAGGCGCTCGAGAACTATGGTCTGAGGTGGATGCGCACGGTTGTGCCATTGCTTCAGTGGCAACACGAGTTGAAACTTTCGCGGTCGTACGCTGAAGGTCCTTATCAGTTATCTGAACCGTTAGACGAGCAAGTAGAAGTTGATCCCTTTGAAGAAAATTTATACTTACATATAATATTCAAGTCCAAAGACTCACCAAATTTCTTTACTCGGCTAGTATCAAATAATTGAGCTATTGGGATCATTTGGACTTTTTGGCTTTCAAATGTTGGGCTTTTGGTACAAGGTAGAAAATATGGGTAAAAATGGCTACTCTTCTCCTTTCATCTCACAATTAGTCACTAAGAGTTGAACTTGACGGAATTTTTAACTCTCTTTCTTGACTAGAGGTGTTTTTCGCTAAGATTTAGATTTTGGAATTATTACTTCACCTCAAAGGACTTATTACCTAACTCGGTTTGTTTAAGAGTTCGAAAGTCTCCACTTTTACTCTTAACATGATGGTTCGAGTTTTTACTTTAAAATCTTTCTCAAGTCCTTTCTTCCCCTTCTATCTTTCTTCTTTTTTTTTTTTTTTTTTTTTTTTTTTTCTCTCTCTTAACATGATGATTCGCGTATGAATGATGAAGATCTACCCAATGTATTTCGTCCAGTGCAACATAAAATAGTCACGATTAAATAACACGACACAAAATGAAGGCATCAATACATTGTTAATAGGACCCGCCGGCCACAATCTCCACGCCTCTTGCAAAAAAATATATATATATAGTGCCAGCCACTACTAATTAGTAATTACTCTCCAATAATACAGTATTTAAAAATAATAATTTACACGTGTTATGTTGTATACGTGTCAGACGCTGTATTTACTCTATATAAAAAATAATATTTTCCTGGCCCAATAAGCTCAATAAAACTTGTACGTTTTCCTAACCCAGTAAAGGCCCATTTAAATGGGCCTAGATTATTATCAGACTCAATACTTGTTTAAGCCTATTTGTAATTTCTTGCTCAATTTTTTGAAATAATTAAATATATTTACATCAGTTCTAGAATATAATTGTGCCTCGTTTGGTTGGAGAGATTAACCACGATTAAATAAATAACAGGGCTTTGGACGTCACGAGGTCCGATAAAATAATTGAATTTTCATTAAGAATCTTATGTTGGCAACCAAACGAGACGTTAGAATATATTAGACCACGGTTATAGTTTAATATTTTATTTTTCTTATATTTACATCATATATTAGTTTCTTAACTAATAACTATGACGCATTGTTATATGAAATTCAAGAGAACATTCTAGAATAGTTATTGAGATAGAAAAATGAACTGCATGACACACTAGCCTTGTCATCTCTCTATTTGGATGGACTAAAACTAAATTGTGACTGAATCTAATGTCACTTTCACTTTATTAAAATGGACCCAAAATAAATGTTTTTTCTATAATCAAATTGATTGGAATAATAACGACTGCCCAAAATTTCTGAACCAAGTTTCTATTTTATTTTGTATGACCTACTAACCGACCATTTTTTGCAGTCCACCTACATGCCATGGTTAATAGCAGTAGGGTGTGAATTGGGACATAATTTTTAAATTCCATTGATTCCAACCCCAACAAAATTCGATTTTGGAATAATATTTTTCACTATGAATTCCGAATGTTCAGATTTTCAATTTTTCCGGGTATTTTTTTAACAAAATTGAAATGCCTATTCGTCTCCGATTCCAATTATAATTTTTGAATATTTTTTCGAAAATTCCAGTTATTTTCCAAAAATTACACTTTACTTATTTATGTGACTTAAAGTTAAAAAATTAATTTCGATCTGATCGGATCCGACCCGACTGATTTTCACCCCTAGATTTCTGCTATAAAAAGGTGATATAGAAATAGAAACCCTACTAATAATTTGATGATTTTTTTTGTGGCGTGTAGGTCAAAGCAAACAGTGACCAGACAAATTCAACCGATATAGAGAGATTTTCATCTCTATATATATACTAATGTCAACAAAAAATTGGCCACCAAATTCAATTTTTGTCACATCATAAATTAAAATTAGTCGTCACCCCAATTACTAATGCAACTTTCCAGCTAAGCTCTCAACTGTTGAAACTGCTCCTCTATCATATCTAATCAATTCGTATTATTGCATAATGATTATATTAAATATCTTTTACTTAAAAAAATTAAATAATAATATTAATAATCAATAAAGACATGATTTATCAAGTTATATATAAATATATATATACACATGACAAAATCCTGAGGTTTTTGCCTTGTATCTGCATCTATCCAATACAAAAATTAAACCAAGTTTATTAATAAAAATAAAATAAAATTGAAAATTAATAGCCCAAATATAGATTATTGCAGAAATGTAATATATATATATTATATATAACTTAGCAAATAACACATGCATTAGGGTTCTCTTCCATGCTGTGGTGCACATAGTAGTAGGTGTTCATTGGTGGATAGTACTGCTGCCGATACGGCATTGCGGTTCCGACCACGAATTCGTCTTTCTTGGGTTGATCTTCTTTCTTCTTCTCGTCTTCTTTCTTCGGTTCGTCTTTAGCATCTTCCTTCTTCGGCTCGTCTTTCTTGGCTTCTTCTTTCTTTGGCTCATCTTTCTTCTCCGGTTCTTTGGCGGGCCCCACCGAGATTATACCCGTCGCCCAATTTTTTTTCCGCAGTTTGCTCACAACTGTAACCGGATCAACTGTCCCGATCACCGTTAGTTTCTTTGATTTCATGTCGATTGCAATTTCATCGATTCCTACACACGCAAATAAGTTATAACTCAACTCAAGAAATTTACACAAATGGCAATTAACGAGTAAAAAACCCGATATGTTTAGATTCTATATTGTCATGCTCACATTGCACTTGTAGTACGGTTGGCCGTTTCAAGAATGAATTAAAAAAGAAAAAAGAAAAAAACTTATAAATGAACCGACATCCATCTTTAGGAAAAACAATATGAATCGCACATTACACATTTATAATACTCGAAAATTACGGGATCGGAGCAAGATTACGCACTATCATCCTTTTTCTTCCTCATTTGCATGCAAAGATTACATAGTCAAATGTAATAACTAATAACCGATATTGAATGAGATGTTCGATCCGAGTAATCTTATAAACACTAATCACGGAAAAGAGGAAAAGCAAGCGTTACTTCTTTCTTTGCGCATAAAGTAGCCTTACTATAATCACAATGTAATTATTAGTGCAGAAAAATTCAAGAACTTTTCGATTCATCTATCGGAAACATTAGTTCCAATCTTACCTAAGTATTACATTGTGATTATAATCATTCAAAAAAAAAAAACAGGGCACTACTCTGTTTTTGCAAACATACAGTCGATTTTCAGCTCGTGCCACGATATTTATCACGAAAATATGCTATAACAATTAACAATTAAAATGAGAATCACAAAATCAAATGATTTAATTTCAGAAATCAAAGATTAAGACAAAAAAATCATATGATTTGTGGAAGAACAAAATCAAGATTTGGTGACAGAAACCTGAAAGAGTAGACACTGTCTTCAACGCTCTCCTCTTGTCTCTTTCTTCATGCAAATCCAATTTCAACACAAACTTCTGCAAACAACACACAATTATTGAATCAAAATTACAAATATCAAACATTTATTTATTTAAAAGAAAAAAACAAAGATTTACACTATCAATTTAATTTTTAGGGAAAAAAAAAATAAAAAAAATAAAAAAATAACGCCATTTACTTCGTGATAAAACCCAACCCATAGATTTTGTCTGAGGAATCAATAGAAATAATTTTTCTCTGGCTTCCTCAACAAAACAACCTTAAAAATACATTCTTTAAATTCTCCAAAAAAAAAAAAAAAAACACGCACACACACATAGAGAAAGAGAGAAGCTAAGAATCAAGAATCAAGAATCAAGAAATAAACCTTCATTTTTCTTTGGGTTTATGTTCTGCTTAAATAAAATAGCTCTGTCTCAAATAAAAAAATGTGGGATTTAAAAAGAGAAGTGAGAGGACAGAAAATAGAGAGAGAGAAAAAGAGAGAGGGAGAGAGAGAGAGAAGCTAAGAATTAAATAAAAATAATGGGTTGATTTGAAAAAAAAAGAAGAAGAAAAGATTTGTTGTATACAGACAACAGAAAAAAGGAAGCAAAATTTTGCTGCCGAGTCCACCACAACACACTCTCTCTCTCTAAACGTATATGTGTGTGTGCAAATATAGTGAGAGAGAGAGAGAGAGGATAGAAATATGAGAATCAGTGCACGTTTCTTCTTCGAGAAATGTGACAGCCACCACCACTGAAAACTACTATGTATGTGCGTGGGCATATATAGTGAGGCCAGGGGCCACTGTTTCGAATACCACTCGCTTCTGTGCGAGCGTGATGATTTGTATTGTTGTGTATCCACGTGTCGCACATAAGCAGTGCCAAGTCGGATTCCTGCATGTGTGTTGCCACCCTGGCAATGTTTTGAAATAATTAAATTTATTGTGTGGCTGGTAGATTTAATGAATTTTTTCTTTTTTCTTTTCAAAGAAAAGAAGATAATAAATAACATAAGGAAAACCTATTAAAGTAAAATGATAAGATTATTATAATACAAAGGTAAATTACCAAAAAAAATATATATATAATTATACAGTCACCCTATTAATTATGAATCTTCTTACACGTCCGCCCTTTAGTGTTAAATTTAGTGGCATCTTCTATATTATATGAAATAATCTACAATTTGTATCCGTTTTATTCCACTCGAACTCCATATTTTGAAACAAGATGATCATAAGATGTGTCTCGTGAATTATAAATATGAAATATCAGATTGTGGTGCATCAGAAACTGCATTTTTACACAAACGAGTACAAACTAGAGGGTAAACAACATAAGACCCTCATATGTTAAAGAAAACATGCGCCAAAACCCCCTGTGTTTTTTTTCTTGCGTAAAACCCCCTTGTGTTTAATTTTACTTTGCACGGAATTCCCTTTTCCGTTAAAACTTAACACCTAGAGGGGATTTTATGCAAGTTTTTTATAACATAGGGGGTTTAGTGCATAATTTATACACTACAAGGGGATTTTACGGAAAATTAATTTATTCATATAAAATTTTCACATTATATTCTTAAATTAAGTCGAACACATTTATTCAGTTACAATATGAAAAATATAAATTTAATAAGTGTTGTGAGTGTTAAGTGTATATTTTTACACTTAATAACACCTTTTAATTGGAGCTTTTGGTGTGTTTTAACGATAATTGGTGCTTAAAATGGTGATTATTTGTATTTTAAGGTACAAATTGAAGAATTGGAAAATTATGGGGTAAAAACTGTAATTTCAGAGAAAAAGTGGGCCAAAAGTAAGAAAATCAAAATTTCGAAGATTTGAAGCCCGGACGGCCGTTCGAGTTCTAGAACTAAATCTGGCGCGGCCGTCCGAGATCACGAGGAGGCGTAGTGAAGGAAGTTTAATTACACAAGGCTACCGCCTTCCTATATTTTTACACCCTATATAAGGCCAAGCCAAGCACACAATTTAGGATCTCATCTTTTTATACGCAATCTAAGAGCAAGAGAACGGAGCAACGAAGACAAAGACTTGACGAATCTTCATCATAGTTCTCTCTTTACTTTTATTTTCAACTTTTATGATTTTTTCGTATTTTTATTATGCTTTTCGTAGAGAACATGAGTAGCTAAGTTTTTAATTTAGGATTTTGTTGGAACCCTATGTGGTGATTCGAACCTATTTTTCTAATATTATACAAGTTTGAATTCCGTGATTATTTCTTCTATTTGATCTTATTTAGCGCATGAACGTAGCTAATTTATGTTGCTATATGTTATTGTTAGAATTGATTGACAGATCGTTTTAATAATTAGAACAAGGATAGGAGAGCCTTCGAGTAGTTTTCACCGGATGAGTGTGTCAATTGCATGTGTTATCGTAGACATACAGATAATACCTTAGGTAGCCGTTTACGAGACTTGTTATTTAATGTTTTATTCATAATTGTTTTGCATAGACATATAGTGAATTGTTTATGAATAATAGACTCATAATACACGCGACAACGGGTTATGAGTAATTTAGTGTCTTGGGTTAATAATCGGGAATCTTAACTTGCATGATAGAGGTTTAATTGGGTGATTAATTATCGCATATGGGAAGATAAAATCCTAGATCCGTTTTTATATTGATATTTTCTCGTGATTATTTACTTTCTTAATTAGTTTAATTGTTTAATTGATTAAATTTCACAACCTTGCGTAGGCTGGATAAAAATCATAATTGTTAGAATTTGGTACTTAGGATTAGATAATTTGATTATTCCCTGTGGGATCGACATCCGACTCTCACGAGTCCACTTTTACTACTTGTTTGCGATACGTGCACTTGCATGTTAGGTATTTAGCCCAACAGTGAGTATTAAAAAAATCAATTTTTATATTGATATAATTTATTAATGTATTTAAGAATTTTGATTTTTTTTAAATATATAATTATTTTATTAGAATTATCATCTATTTTTATAATTTATTATAGATTAATTATATGTGAAAATAACATAAATAATTTGAGAATTCATTCCATCTTCCATTTCGAATATTAATTTTTTTGGTTTTCATATTTTAAATTAATATATGTATTCGACTTAATTTAAGAAAATAATTTGAAATTTAAATGAATAAATTAATTTTGCGTAGAACCCTCTTGTGTTGCAAAATCATGCACCAAATCCCCATATGTTATAAAAAACTTGCATAAAATCCCCTTTATAGTCAACGGTGTTAACTTTTAACGCAAAAGGGGATTTCGTGCAAAGCAAAATGAAATACAAGGGGGTTTTACGCAAGGAAAAAAAAGGGGGGGGGGGGGGGGGGGGGTTTGGCGCAGGTTTTCCTTAACACATGGGGGTTATGCTGTTCACCCACAAATTAGAGAACATTCCACGAAATCTAGAAGATTCTGTTGAATTTGATACCGCAAGGGTGGACGTGCAAGAAGAATCATAATTAAAAGAGTAGTTGTAATTACCCAAACATAAATGATTTTTTTTTTTCTCATAATTTGACCTTATCTCATGGGAAGACTGTAAGCTACTTAAATAAAATTGATGACTCATACGCAGATAGAGATAGAGATAGATATACTGATACTGATACTGATATTGGACTTAGATTTAGAATTGTTAGTTGGGCCAATTTATAAAATGTAGCTGAGTCTACTCTTTACCTTTAATTCCGAGTTAGATTTCAACCCAATCTGGATATATATGGACCGGCCCAATCTGGATATTATATGAACAATAATTTATAAATGTGATTTTTTTTTTAAATGCCACACAAATTTAATTCTCGTTAGGTTCAATATTGGAAGTCATTTCTAAGGTACAGAATGTAATATACTTGGAATTAAATTTTAAGATTATTATACACGTGCAAAATTCAAGATGTTGGAATTGGTCCATTTCCAAACACACAACACATCCCTTAATTATGAACTAAAAGCTCAATGATGCTCAACAAATTAACAAAGACTCCATCGTCAATCTCATGGAGACACCACTTAATTGTAACAATTAAAGTACACGTAATATATTCCTGCTCCAATACATTCTTAAATTCGTTTTTTTAGTTCATAAGCTTAGTCGATTGTCACACAATTTTCAACAAGACCGAATTCCCTCACTCTAACATTTGTTTGTGACTTTAGTAGTAGTTCACCTGCAATTTCGAAGAATATCGAGGACGACCAAGAAAATCGAGTCTTTCCGGATGACTTTGCAATTGGAGAATAAATGGGATTTTGTGGAAGAAAATACTACTACGACTCAAAAGTCAAATTAAAATAATGAAATAGTAAATTCCGACCCGACCCGACCCGAAAACCGGATATTTGACATTGAAGTATTCTTGTACCTACGGCAGCGGTAGTGGTTATTCTTGGTGGACGGGGGGCACGAGAAACCACAGCCCCACCTTGTCCGACCCACGTGGGTGGGTAGGGTGCTTTTGACTGTCCCATTCTTCTCCTCTCCTCACTCGCGCCCCACGCGCGTGTCTAACACGCTCTATTTGTCCTCCTCCTTTCTCTCCGTCATCTTCAATTCATATCTCATCTGAACTATTTTACCCCCAAAAAAAAAAAAAAAAAAAAAAAGCCATGAAACAGCCCTAATACAATAGCTCCATTCATCATAATTTCCAAATTTCACAAATTCCCCCAATTAAAAAAAAAATCTAATTTTCCTGCAATTCGTTGGATCAGCAATCTGAAATTTTAGGGTTCCACAATGGGCAGGAGGAACGAAGATGAATTACAATTGGCTATTTACCGACCGCCGCTTTTCATGGGCGGCTGCTTGGAGATTCGTCTCTTCTACGTCCGCATCGCCCCCTGCGCGGTGGACAACCTCCCCGACCAGCTCAAGCTCCGCCACCTCCGCCGCGAGGTCGGCGTTTCGTTGGAGATCAACGGCTCCCGCGTCCCCTCGTCGGAAACCGTTTCCGTCACCCTCCGCCGCGATCGCGTGGATAAGGATTCATCCGAGGCGACGTACGTCAGCACGGACAGCGTGAAGCTCTCGGGCCCCGCGGAATTCGAGGTGTGCGAGGAGAAGGACGATTTGGATTTGATCCTGTGCGGCTCGCTGCAGAGAGCGGACGCTGCATCCGCGTGGAGCAGCGACACCTCCATGTCGGATAACGATTCGAAAACCGGGTGGGGTATGGAGTGCTACGTGGCGAATTCGATAGCCAACGGCAAGTCTTCGCTCCTCCAGACGAAGAAAGGGATTTGCTCTCCGACCATCGAGGTTTATATTGCCGGGTGCTGCAATGGCACGCCCGTAATTTTGATGAAGACTGTTTTGATTAGCCCTAGGAGGAAGGTTAGGCAAGGTATGATGCTCGATGCTATTCCGGAGGACGAAGAAACGGGGAAGGAGCAGAGGAGTTTGTCTAATGGGATGGTGAGGCAGAGGAAATTGCAGGTAAATTTTCGGCTTCGGTTCAATTTATTGCATTGATTATTGCTGATTTGAATTATAGACGAATGTGCTAGTATACAATTATCGGACTTTCGGATAGATGATTCAATATATAGGATTAATGATAATTAATTTATAGGATTATTGGAAAATATAAACAGCAGCTACTTTCGCATAAACACAAGTACATAAACGAGAGAATTCGATTTTGACGAGAAAAGTAGGTTAATATTTTGAATTTTCTACATGTAGATAATATGGCATGCCAGTAGAATTTAGATATTCGATTTTTTACTCCAAATTATAGGGTAAACATTTATCGTGTGAATGGATTGATTCTGTACAAAACATCATAGTTGGTAGCAGAAGTGTAACCACATCATTTGAACCCGAAAAAGAAGGGCTCGTTCTAGTTGCAACAATGAAATTCAACATAGGTCAAAGAAAGTTGTTAAAATATGGATTTCGACGATTTCTTCTATGCGAAAGCTTGAATTAAGTTATTAAGTATTATATTTCGCCTGAAGGATTGTGGTGTAGGGTTCAACTATGACTTGCCGCTGTAAGTATATAGCAACGAGAATATTCTTCTAGTGCGCATTTTCTCCTCTGTACTATTACATATCATGTTCCACTAAAAGACAACGAGATAATTTCGATCACTAAGAAGTTCACTTCCGGAGGCATTTAGGCTTTTCTATATCTCTCTTTACAGTATTGTATCTAATCTGAGCCACCACGGAATTTTAAAGTTTTAAATTTTCTGTATCTTTTCACTATTAATTTGGAGTTAGTGGTCTAGCGTTATTTCTGTAATCGAAGGGGTAGTTTAGGGAAAAAATGGTTTTATGTTTGAACATCTCAAAAAAAGAAAACGAGTACGGTAATTTTGCACATGAACCGTGCTCCTGAAAGAAACAATTGTAATGATGATAGAACTTATTACAATTGTTCAAAATTTTCACGAATGAAATTATCAGGGGTCAGATGGAATTTTTCCATAAAATTACACCAAGATTTTGAAAATATTTGAACTTTCTGCCTGATTATGTTGTGCCAACTAGGTGACAGGATGGAAGTTATTAAAAGAAATCTCGTCATTCGATTGATGCGTCTACTTTGGCGTTCCTAATTCATTAAGAATAACAGACTTAAGTTAACCTTCAATATACTGTTTCTGCAGCTTATGGCAGCTGAGATGGATGAATATGAACCAAAAGGAGAAATCGGACACAATTACTACTCCGAAGAAATGTACCCCGGCGAAGATGGACAGCTGTCGTGGTTCAATTCTGGTGTAAGAGTCGGTGTCGGAATTGGGCTTGGAATGTGCCTCGGCGTTGGAATTGGTGTGGGCCTACTTATGCGATCATACCAAGCTACAACTAGGAATTTCAGGAGGAGATTTTTCTAAAAATCTTTTTATACTTCTTAAGTGCAGAAAACCAAAACAAATGAAAAATAGTGACCGGTTTCATGTTTGAGGTGGAAGTATACTTACTTCCTTTTCGGATTTGCTAACCTAGAGATATCGTAAATGCAGCTGAGGAAGTGAGGAAACACATAGTACGCAGAAATTGGGTTTCTGGTAAATTGCTGCTCCGATATAACCGTGTGTTGTTATTGCAAGTGTTGATATAGCAGTGTTACGTGTTAAATATTTAGGCCTGGTGTGCCAAAAGGGATGCCGGGTTTCTGTGTGGATGGCTGTATCTCTTAGTGCTTTGTAGGTATATATTTTTCTCTTATCGAGTCTTTTGATCGGATCATTTTTGTGGAGCAAGATTGTTTACTTTACGGTTCCTCCCGTTTTTTTTTTTTTTTTTTTTTTTTTTTTTTTTACGTTTAATATACATTGTTGAAGAGTTGTATGACGACATCCACGTTCTGATGATGTTTGAGATGAGAGAATTTTTGTTTTGTTTAGTGATATCAGTGTTTACTTGAGTCGATTTTTTTTTTTTTGCAGCATAGCTCGTAACATTATTTTGGTTTGTGTTCGTTTGAGCCTTCCAATTTTCGATATACCTGTTAAGAATTGATTTTCGATATTCTTTTAATGGAATTGGAATTAGTTTTTTACTTCCGATCTTTTTTTTTTTCTCCGTAAAATATTAATTTCGATTTGATCGGTTCGATTCCCATCCTTAACTTTGTTTATGGTGCTGGTATGATTATGCATAGGAATCATTGAAAAAATAATTAATTTATTTTGTAGAAAGTTTAATGTTGAAATCGGATGGGTCGAATCTAAAGTGGAAAACTAATTCGATTCCGTTAAAAAAAATTGAAATTTTAAATGATTTTTTTTTTGTTCCACAATCGAAATGGAATTAGTTTCAGAAAATTAAAATCTAATAGAAAATATGAATCTCGTAAAATTATTTTCAGAATCCGCTGATCGAAAATTTCATTTTACATTTTCACCCCTAGTTCTATGCGATAATGGTAAACTAGTTTAAAAGGGAGTTTTTGTGAATTTCAAGGACACGAATGTAATTTCGGACCTTCCCCATTCTATTCATATACTGTTCTTCCACTGCTCACAAACAGTCGTTCTTTCAAACACAGTCACACAAATCGATCTCTTGCGTTGAAAAGCGGAAACAAGCTCGGCTTAATTTCATCCAAGGTAAATTCCATTTTCCCAATTTCGTTTCATTTTTTACCTGTTTGAGTTTCAATTGTTGCGCGGCGTTCGATCTTCACCAATTCTAATCATTCCATTTTCTTTTAATTTTTCTCTTTTAGTTTTCTGATAATTGTTTGCATGTTTTTATGTTAATGCGATTCGTATACCCGCGAAAATTGAATTTCGGTAATTGATATTGAGATCTCTGAGGATCTATGTAGATGAAGATTTACTAAAATCAATGGTAGATAAATCCCGGATTTGTGAATTTAGCCGGAGACATTTTTTGTTGGATCACACAGTAGAGGGTTTATAGGTCAATTTTTTCTATTGCGCTTTAGATTTGTTTATGTGTTAATGCATGAATGATAATAAGTTTGATCGCTGAACGTTAAAAATTTTCTTATCGGCGTGTTGTTTAACCGAAACCAAAATTCCGACACTTCGTTTTATGATTTATCTTCAATCTGAAGTTCAAATTGGAGTATAGTAGATATTTTGAATCTTTGAAGACTATTTTGGTTTCTGCAAATGAACTTTGCTCGAATATGTTAAAGGAGCTTGATTGAGAATGTCGAGAGGTATATGTACATAAAAAACCGACTGATTGTGCTCTCGTGCTAAATGATAATAAAGTACTGTAAATCATGTGATAATAAAAATTGAGTTATTAGAAACTCGGAGGATACTTGACTAATGGAAACCCTGTAACTGCTTAGTGCTAGAGTGTGTGTGCGTGTGTGTGTGTGTGTGTGTGTGTAAAGTAGTTCAATTGGGAAGACTATTATTTCTTTTTATATCAAATGTTTTTAAAAATAGTGTCATGGATCCATCGATGGAACTATCGACTCATTCTAGTTCATGTTTTCTGTATACAGTACTTGTGGTAAAAATATGTCAGGTACGGAGGACGTTAAAGAACAAACGGAAGTTGTTATGGAAGACGCTGAAAAGTCATTGCCATCAAGACAGCAGGAAGTTGTCGTTCAGACCGTGTTATTTTTTTTATTAACTTTTTGAATTTTTTCAGTGTTTCCGTTATCTAATTGGATTCTTTACATGTTCTTTGCAGGAGGAAGTCGTAAAGAAGAAATATGGAGGAATAATTCCCAAGAAACCACCACTGATTTCTAAGGCATTAATAACATCTATATCATACTTTTCTCACGTGTCACCTTTTTTTTTTTTTTTTTAAATAACACGGTTCCATTTGATGACAGGATCACGAACGTGCCTATTTTGACTCCGCTGATTGGGCTTTGGGAAAGGTACACCGTTTTGGTATTTGCTCCATTTTTCGCATTCTTTGAAGCTCGTGTTATTGGTATAGCTGTCGATTGTAAATTTTACTTAATAATTATTGGTGTTTTTTTTACGACAGCAAGGCGTAGAGAAGCCCAAAGGACCGCTTGAGGCTCTTCGGCCAAAGTTACAGGTACTTATACTTCTTGTTTCCTTTTTTGGTTCGGTTAATTACATGAATCATTCATATTTATTGGTACTTGATGAATCTATTATGGCTTTTCAGTCCAATTTAGTTAGTTTTTGTTGTTATTACTTCTGATGCACTGTGTTATTTTTCGTATTTAAGTATTTATCTTAAAAAAGGGAACTCCGATGGCAAAATTTAAGCCAGATTTTATGCATGGATATCTTAATAGCACCATTCAAGATACTTACTGTATTCATTAAGGTCTCGTTTATTTCCGCAACGACTTATTTCTTTGGAAAAATACTTTGAAGGCAATGCAATAAAACCTGTATCTGGATGAAGATTTTGGGAATCTGAATCTTTCCTGAGCTTGTGTTGGATTTAATTATGTCACCGTTCTTCTTTCACAATCATATATTCATATATAGATATATATTAAATTGTTTTTTTTCCATGTGTCTGTGATTAAAAAGGTGAAGTCATCAATATGTACAATATTTTCAGTACCGAAAAGGGGGTAAATTTAACCCGTTATTTTGATCATTTATGCTGAAGTGTTATTTCATGTTTTTTCAGAAATTGAATGGGCACTAGATTTATTTGTTTTTAATTTTCTTTTAGCCTTTGTGCTGACATGTTTTCCTATGGGATAATTGTTTGTATTAGCCAACACAACAGCAAACGCGGTACCGCAAATCTCAATATGCACCATCAGAAGGTGAAGGTATGCATGCATGATTTGTCAAAATTCCATATTTTTTCGAGAAATTTCATCAGCAGTTGTATTTTATTAATTCATTTCTGTATGTCTAATTTACTGAATCTTTTTGTCTGTGTAGACGGAAGTACTGCACCATCTGAAGATGCGAACGCAAATGAATGAGAAACTGTTACTGCTCGATCCTTTGATTACGGAGAGTTCCTTCAGCATTACTTGCATGACAACTACTAGTGAAGTAAATTTTTTACTAAAATAAAAATTTTGAAAAAAATATTCTATTGGATGCTCAAAGTGGAAAAATGCGTACTTGCTGCTGTAATTACCCGTATTCATGTTGTCGACTATTTTCATTTATACCATCATCGAGACTATTATTGCTTTTATTTTGCGTGCGTTACTCTTAATTCGTTGCTCAAATGAACCTTCATTTTTCTACTTCTCTTCTTCTATTTGTCTTTCATTATATAAATACTTATGTGAATGTGCTTCTCTCTCTAAAACTTTGTTGCTAGTAAATGAACTTTAAGAATAAAGATTATCACGTTCATTTTAAGCATGGCGTAAACGAGTTAAGCTCGAGCCGAACTTGCTTGAGGCAAAAATTTAAAGCTCACTAAAAAATAATTTTGCTTTTTTTTTGGGGTCATCTAGTTCATTTCATGTTTAGTATTTATATGTTTTTTGTAATATAAAAAATCCTTAATAATAATTAAAGCAAAAAGGTATGCTTTCAAAATATTGAAAATAATAATTAAAGTAAAAGGTATAAATTCAACAAGCGCCGCTGAAGATGCTTTAATCAGACCAAAAAACACCAAATCCACACACAGTAAAGGTGAAAAGACACACACACATTGAAGTAGGGTCTTCCTTCTCACTCCTCCCCCTTCCAAATCTACTGGAACTGGAGATCTCATTTTATAAACATAGCAAATAGCTAAATATGCTTCTTCTTCGCCGCATATAATCACGAAATTCACACGCTTGATTGTGTGTCGCTGCGTGAAAATTGCACCGAAGATTTTGGACTGAATTGATAGGGAGGGAGAGATCTCCGGCGGCAATGCCTCAACGTAGCAGCGCCGCTCTTCAATCGCACGCCCTGCCACTAGTCGTGACGCTCAATTGCATCGAAGACACGGTGCTGGAGCAGGAATGCCTCTCCGGCGTGGCGCAGGTGGAGCACGTGCCGCTCAGCCGGCTGGCGGACTCGCGGATCGAGTCGGCGGCGGCGGTCCTCCTCCACTCGCTCTCGTTCCTCCCACGCGCCGCGCAGCGCCGGCTCCGCCCCTGGCAGATGATTCTGTGCCTCGGCTCCTCCGACCGCGCCGTCGACTCGGCTCTCGCGGCCGATCTCGGGCTGAGCCGGCTGATCCACGTCGACGTCAGCCGAGCCGAGGAGGTGGCGGACACAGTGATGGCGCTTATTTTGGGGCTACTCAGGCGCACGCATCTGCTCTCGAGGCACGCGCTCTCGGCTTCGGGGTGGCTCGGCTCGGTGCAGCCGCTCTGCCGCGGGATGCGCCGGTGCCGTGGATTGGTTTTGGGGATTATTGGTAGATCTGCCTCTGCGATGTCGTTGGCTAGCAGGAGCTTGGCGTTTAAGATGAGTGTCCTGTATTTTGATGTGCAAGAGGTATGCTAAAAAGATCAAACTTTATATTTTTTTGGTTTTCTTCCTTGTAATTAAGTTTTTGTTCCTTACATTTGTGTGTAGGGAAATGGTATAGTAAGTAGATCTTCTTTAAGATTTCCATCTGCAGCCAGAAAAATGGATACACTTAATGACTTGCTTGCCGCAAGTGACCTCATATCGCTGCACTGTGCTCTCACTAACGATACGATTCAAATTATCAATGCAGATTGTTTGCAGCATATAAAGCCTGGTAAATTATTGATAGTTTTTTTTGTGAAGATTTCAACTGCTTGGTTTATAAACATCTCTCTCATGAGTTGGTATTTCTCTGCAGGGGCATTCCTTGTAAATACTGGGAGCAGCCAGCTGCTGGATGATTGTGCAGTGAAACAACTTTTAATTGAAGGCACGCTTGCAGGCTGTGCCTTGGATGGCGCTGAAGGGCCACAATGGATGGAAGCATGGGTATGATGAATAGTCTTAGGGTATGAATGCATTGTAGAAATGTAGTTCTCAGATGTTTGCTCTTTCTTTTGTGATGAAGTTGTGTCATGAAACTGTTCGATTTTTTGCTTGACGGGTTGCTATTAGGACGTAGATCCCTTTTATTTTAAAGGTTTATATAGTCCCTGTTTTTGTGTGACTTTGCTCCCTTTTAAAAGTAATAGAGTATTTGTTCAGCTTATTTTAGCTGTTCTTGTGCATAAAACGGAAGTACCAAAGCCTATAACCAGGGAGATACGTAAGTCAGTTGTCTTGCTTTTATCTGTAAGTACATGTGTGTTACTACAATTTAAAATTCTGGGAACAGCTTATGGATTGTGACAAAGTACAAAATGTATACAATACGTGCTCATACAACATCCATCGATATACATGGGACCATATTAGTTGAATAGTTTCTATGTTATTTGCTTAAAATGTTTCTAAAGTAGAACTTATCAATTCCTTTGTCAACTTATATTATGCTGTAATTGTTACAAAGGAGTTTAAGAGATCTTGACATTTCTGAAAACTATAGTGTTGCCTTTCCTCCTTACTTGTACTGATATGACAGCACTCTGACGTGGTTTCAGCTTAGGGAGATGCCCAATGTTCTGATACTTCCCCGAAGTGCAGACTACAGTGAAGAAGTATGGATGGAGATAAGGGAAAAGGCTATTTCCATACTACAGCAATTCTTCGTTGACAACGTCGTCCCAAAGAATGCTGTATCAGACGAGGAAGAAGAGGAAACAGAGGTGGAATATGAGAACGAGCAGACTCGCACACTAGAGAATCAAGCATCTTTCCAAAGTTCAGTTGATGATGGACTGACTGAAGATATTCAGCAAGTGGCCGAAAGCTCCCAGAAAAAGGTCTCAAACAAGTCAAAAGAGGCTCCCTCGCAAAATCAAGGTTCCGTTTTGGCTCAAGGTACCTCGAATAGATCGGAAATAAAGAGAAGCAGATCGAGTAAGAAGGCTAAAAAGAGGCACGGCCGCCAAAAATCCCAGAATAAAGCTGACGATGCTTTGACTTTCGAAAAGGAGAGTACTTCGTACAGAGAAGACGATGCTAATATGAGCGGCACAGATCAAGTGTTGAGTTCTAGTTCACGTTTTGCTTCACCTGATGATTCGAAAGCAGAGTTATCTCCAGAGCTGCGATTGAAATCGAGCGTAGATATTAATAAAAGATTAGGTGAAGTGCTGAAAGATGGATATATTGTTGCTTTACACGCGAGAGATCGTTCAGGGCTTCATGTCTCGAGGCAAAGAGCTCAAGGTGGTGGTTGGTTTCTTGATTCATTGTCGGATATAACGAAAAGAGACCCTGCAGCTCAGTTCCTGGTTGTATTTAGAAGCAAGGTGTGTAGTTGACTAATTTATTACCATTTCTACTATTTTTGTTGGCCCTTCCCCAAAGTAAGTATATAAATGAATAAATCCAATGGAAACTATGGGAACTGGATTATATTCGAGTTGGATAATTGATTTCTTGAATTGCTATTTTGCAGGATACAATTGGTTTTAGATCATTTACTGCTGGAGGAAAGTTATTACAGGTCCATCGAGTTGTGATAATTTCTTTTATTTCTGTTTATGGGATTTTAATTTTGAATGGAAGTTAAAGACAGATATAGAAGTAGAAAGGTAGCTACTGTTACTGCTAATGTAATTCGTAGCTGTCATTACTATAGAGATGTCTTGGCAAAACGTTTAGGCTCTGTTTGGATGAAGGAAAATGCTAAGTAAAAAGATGAACGGACGGGGTATTATAAATTTCATGCAGGAAGTAAAATACTAGGTAAAATGATTTGGGGAAACACGTCATCTCGGGTAAAGGGTATAATTTTCAACAAAATCAATTTTAATCACCATTTTCCTTGGAAACCAAACTTACTAGAGATTTTCAAATTTTTTGATTTCATTTGGCTTTTGCAATTTCATTTCCTCATGTCATAATCCACGAACCAAACAGAGCCTTAGTTAATCGTATAAAATTTATGGTGTTTTGAGCTTTGAGTTTCGACTTTGCAGATAAATAGGAGGATGGAATTTGTATTCGCTAGTCATAGTTTTGATGTTTGGGAGAGCTGGACATTTGAAGGTTCTTTGGAAGAGTGCAGGCTCGTGAATTGTAGAAATCCTCTGGTAAGTCCACGCATCGATTATTACTGCATATACCACTCGTTTTTCACTGGTTGACCCATAATGACAAAGGTCAAAGTTGAAAAAAATATATATATTCCTGAGTCAACAACATTGATCTAGTAATTGCATGAAGTTGTTAAGAAGCCGTTGATCGTTATATTATACGCGGACTCTTTTATAAGATCAATGATCTTTTACCTTGCCATCTCTCCTTTTCTCTTTCATATAAACTCATATATGTGTCTCTATCTTTTTACCGTATGTAGGCTGTGTTGGATGTACGCATTGAAATCGTTGCAGCTCTAGGTGAAGATGGTGTTACTCGCTGGCTCGATTAATAGGGCTATAAATTGCAGCCTGGAAATTATAGCATGACAATTTGTTTACATTGAGGTTTTGAGATGTCGACTCGACCAAGAGAGCCATTGTTTGTAAGAAATTTACGATTTTTAACGTTGGAAATCGTGATGGTGTATTCCTGTTTTTATTTGATGATTGCTAATCTCTCTGGGATAATATAGTTGTAGTTGAAAGATTAATTTAATTGTTGCTTGCTTATTTCAGTCAAATGTATCCATATTCTTCAAATTTTAGAATCGGAAATTAAGGTAAATTAATTCATATTTTGTTCTAAACAAAATCGGAAATTAGAATTTTTGAAGAAAAAATATGTTTCAAAATTGGATTTTTTTGCAATGGGAATCCGTGGAAAGTAAAAATTTGGACTTGTTGAGTTACAGTTAAGTATCTATAAATGAGTGCATTTGGAACTAATAAATTTCTTTTAATTTAGGAAAATATGAAATTATTAAACTAATCATTTAATATGTTTTTACTGCGTGGAACTGATAGAAATTATTATTTAGACATCGTTATCAATTAATCAAGGTTAGTGAAGTATTAAATTATTAAACTAATACTTTAGTATGTCTTTATTGAGTCGAGCAGAAAAAAATTATTATTTAGATGAGATTATTAATTTATGGATATTTTACTATACTTGGATAAGCATCAACATCTTAGAATAATAACTCCCCCCCTTCAATCTTGGCTCAAAATTGCACACATTATTAACACACAAAAAAAAAGGAAAACCAGAGAAACTCCTCTTGACGAATTAGAACAAACAATTCTCCCCTCCAACAACCACTCATAATCTAAAAAAACTGACACCTCACCAAACCATCCACCACAGATCTCCCGCCCACAATATAAAAGTCGGTTATTTTCCCTTCGTATATAAACCTTGACCTCTTATTCTCAAAATTCAACCCCAAAACCACACGTACGAAAACCCCTCCTCAGAAGCTTCTAGAAACCCAAGCTCAACTCCTGAAATTCATTTTTTGATCCGAATCCACCACCGGATCAAGGTTTTTCACATTTCGATGAAAATTCCGAGTTCGGGTTTAGATGATGATCCTAATAAGAAGATACGAAAACCGTACACGATTACCAAGTCCAGAGAGAGCTGGAGTCATCAAGAGCATCACAAATTTCTCCAAGCTCTTCACCTGTAACTATTTCTCTCTCTATTTCTTCTTTTTCCCTTTTTCTTATTTTATTAATTATTTCCTTCATTAGTCCTTTGCTCACTGTTGAGTTTCACTTGCCAGTGGAAATGCTTTTAATTGTTCTAAATTGAAATTTGATTGAAATTGAAATCCTGATCTTAGATTTTAATTTATCCAGATTTGATCGTGATTGGAAAAAAATTGAAGAATTTGTCGGCTCAAAAACAGTTATCCAGGTACTATACCTAGCCGGTTGGATTACTAAAACTGATTAAATTGTAAAGTAAATATTTCGTAAATTGAAAAGTAATCAAACAAGAAATCGATAAGTTTCGCAGATTCGAAGCCATGCTCAGAAATATTTTCTCAAAGTCCAAAAGAATGGAACAACCGAGCATGTACCACCTCCTCGCCCGAAGAGGAAAGCATCCCATCCTTATCCACAAAACGCCCCGAAAAAAGGTTCGACTTTCTTCGATTTTTTTTTTCCTATGAATTTAATCATTGTTAATTTTAATTTACGAGGTGTCGTTTTTTTTTTTTCTTCAGCTGATATTGGATTAGCATGTAACTATAGCAGCAGTAGCAATGAAAGCACCCCTCGTGTATGGAAAGATAACGAGACGCTTTGCCAAGTTAAAAAATACAGAACAACAAAAGGTTTTGTTTTGTTTTGTTTTCAGTTTTTCATTTATTATTTTCTTCGAAGAATTAGTTTCGGTTTAATTGAATTAAATGTTTCTGTTGAAGCAGTTGTGCCAGATTTTGCGCAAGTTTACGGATTCATTGGCAGTGTATTTGACCCTGAAGCAAGTGATGATCATTTGAAAAGATTGAAAAAGATGGACCCTATAGATATCGAGACTGTGAGTCGTCGAATTTCTTTTAAACTCAATTAATGCTTTGCATATATATATTAATATATTTGTAACTTTGCTTATTAATTAAATAGATATCCCTAATTACTCAGTTGATTAAGTGAGTATTTTATCCATTTGTGCAGGTGTTATTGTTGATGAAGAATCTGTGTGTCAATTTGGCCAGCCCAGAATTTGAGGATCATGTAAGTTATCAAAATCAAACCGTGTGTTCGTTTATTTATTTGTTTAATTTTTTTATGAATAAATGTTGTTCGATTTGAAAAATGAAGATCGTTATTTTTTCTTTTTTATCTGCTCGACTACGCTGGCGTTGAAAAGGATAGCGTGGCGAAGTTTTGTGGCTTGTAACGTATATAGTACGTGTTTGAGTGAAACCGAAACCGAAAACCGAAAACTGAAAACGAAAACCGAACCAAAACCAATACGTGTTTGTCACATCTATGTAAATAAAACACTTAAAATTAAATGTGACATTTTTAGAGAGGTTGTTCACTGACTACTGTTATTAGCGATAATCACGGAATTGTCATATATTTGCTTATATATTTGCTTTCCTTGTATGTAAATAATTGCCTAGGTTGTAGTTTTAGCAATCCCATAATTTTCTCCCGTGATTTATTTTTCCTGATTTTTGGATTGTACATAATTGTACACAGGCCTTTATAAGCCACATTCTCTCAATGAAATAAATCATCATTTTCTCCTATAATTATCTTATTATGGCACCAGAGCCAATCGATCCTCATTCCTAAAAAAAAAATATATATATATATATTCTTCTGCACAGTACAAACACATCTCTTGTCATGGCTTCAAGTGATAACAATAATCCCACATCTCCCTATTATTTAAATCCATCTTCTAATCCAGGTACCTCCCTCACCCAAATTAAATTAAAGGGTGACAATTTCTCTTCTTGGGAACAAGCCGTTTTGTTGGCCTTAAAATCTCAAAATAAAGTTGGGTTTATCGATGGTACGATTCCTAAACCAGATACAACAGATCCCAAATTTCTACCTTGGGAAATAGTCAATTCTATGTTGTGTTCTTGGATAGCCAATTCACTTGATGATTCCATACGTGCTACTGTCTCTCGTCTCTCCAATGTTAAGATATTGTGGGATTGTTTAAAAACCCGTTAAAAATGGCCCGAAAGTTTCCAAACTTTGGTATGATCTCACTCTAACTAAACAGTCTGGCACAACTGTGATGTCATATTATACAAAATTCGTGGGTATGTGGTCTGATCTTTCAAATTTATCTCCTCTAGAGTCTTGTACATGTGATAAAAATTCCACTATAACATCTTGGTTTGATAACCTCAAAACCTACCAATTTTTAATGGGTCTTGATGATGCTTTCGGTACTTTGAGAACTCAAATTATTAACATGGAGCCACTACCAGATCTAGATCGTGTATATGCCATGGTAAGCCAAGAGGAAAGTCACAAATTTGCTATCCAACCACTTGAAACTCAGCCTCAACCCGTTGGTTTTGCCGTATCTCATCGGCCAACCACCACTGATTCATCCACTACTCGTGCTCTTGGACAGCAAAATGGCCGCCCATTTTGTACATTTTGCAACCGACAAGGTCATACAATTGATCGATGTTGGACGCGGCTTGGCATTTCTCCTTTTCCAGGCCGCGGACGGGGACGCGGGCGCGGGCGTTCATCTTCCTCGGGTCAAGCCCGCTACCAGAACAACACCGCCCCCGCAGCGTTCGCAGCAGCAAGCCAATGGCCTGTAGCAAATCCATCCGGTTCCACCACGTTGGCTCCTACACCAACAACGTTTCCCGGCTTTACTTCTGATCAGATCCAGCAGCTTCTTGCGCTCATCACTCCCTCCTCCGAAGGTGCTAATATGTCTAGTAAGCACAATACAATTTGGCTTATTGATAGTGGTGCATCTCACCACATGACGGGAAATATATCACTACTTTCACATGCTCGTGACATTGTACCCTCTCCGGTTGGTCTACCCGACGGAGCTAATGCATCGGCTATCAAAGAGGGATCTTCTTTATTGCAACCTGGTTTAATCGTAACCAATGTGTTATATGTGCCGAGTTTGTCCGTCAATTTAGTTTATGTTCGTAAGTTGATAGCTGATTCTCGTTGTCTTGTGATTTTTACCGATGACTATTGTATATTACATGACCGCACATCGGGGAGCCTGATTGGACTGGGTGAGCATCGTGGTGGGGTGTACTATTTTCGGCCGGTGACAAAGGCAACAACATCTGCCGTTCAAGTATGTGACAAATATGATCTCTGGCACCGTCGGTTGGGGCACCCTTCCTCTAAACCTATGTCTCTTTTACGTTTCGATGGACAAAAACTATCTTTGCCTGAAAAACCTTCTATTTGTGATATTTGTTGTCGTGCAAAGCAGAATCGTTCTAGTTTTCCGAGGAGTATTAATTGTGCTACAAACATGTTTGATTTAATTCACTGTGATATTTGGGGACCTTATCGTTTTTCTACCCATTTTGGTGCAAAATATTTTCTCACCATTGTTGATGACTTTAGCCGTGCTGTATGGGTTTACCTAATGTCTACTAAACGGGCTGCTAGTATTTTATTACAACAATTCTGTGTCATGGCCCATAACCAATTCGGCAAAACTGTTAAAATCATTCGCAGCGATAATGGAATGGAGTTTGTATCTAGTTTTATGCAATACTTTTATCAAAAGCATGACATAATTCATCAAACTAGCATTGTTGATACTCCGCAACAAAATGGACGGGTTAAACGGAAACACCGACATATTTTAAATGTTGCTCGTGCCTTAATGTTTCAAGCGTCGTTGTGTGCTAACCGCAGCACATCTTATAAACCGAACACCCACACCTCTCTTGAATGGCCTAACCCCACATGAAAAATTATTTTCTACCCCACCCTCAAATTCTCATATCCGTATATTTGGTTGCTTATGTTATGCGCATTTTAAAGATCGTACTAGGGATAAGTTTGCTCCGCGAGGTCGCCGGTGTGTCTTTCTTGGGTATCCTTATGACAAAAAGGGGTGGAAGGTTATGGATTTGGAGACTAATCGTGTATTTATCTCACGTGATGTTGTGTTTGACGAAAATATTTTTCCTTATGCCAATAAGTGCTCTGAGGTACCTTCTGCTACAACTCCTCTGCCTCCTCTAATTTATGATATTTATGAATCTGACAATCTCGTAGCACCACCACAAACGACAGGGGGAGTTCCCTTACCCCAGCACGAAACCGCATCGTCACCTCTTGACATTAACATTGAGCAGCCATCACTTATGGAGCCCAATTTGGGTCGTGGGCATCGGGTTCGAAACACTCCAGCTCATCTTAAGGATTTTATTTGTCACACGGCCCAACTCATTACACACCCCACTGCGTCTCTTCCTTCCAAAGGTTCCTCAGGTACGCGGTTTCCTTTGGCAAATTATATATCCTGCAAGAATTTTTCTCCTTCACATATTCGTTTTTCTTGCTCATTCACACACATATTTTTCTTGCAAGAATTAAATATGTGAAGGAGAATTTTTCTCCTTCACATATTTCTCCAACTCATTACACACCCCACTGCGTCTCTTCCTTCCAAAGGTTCCTCAGGTACGCGGTTTTCAAAGGTTCCTCAGGTACGCGGTTTCCTTTGGCAAATTATATATCCTGCAAGAATTTTTCTCCTTCACATATTCGTTTTCTTGCTGCCATTACTGCTGGGGTTGAACCCCAATCTTATTCAGAAGCAGTTCAGGATCCTAATTGACGCGATGCTATGAACGTTGAAATTGATGCTCTCGAACGCAACGGAACTTGGACCATTGAAGATCTCCCTCCCGGCAAGAAACCTATTGGTTGCAAATGGGTGTTCAAGTTGAAATATAACTCTGATGGTAGTCTTGAACGATACAAAGCTCGAGTTGTGGTACGCGGTGACACTCAAGTCGAGGGCCTCGACTATAATGAAACATTTGCCCCGGTTGCCAAAATGGGAAGTGTTCGTTTATTTCTCACAGTGGCAGTTATTAAAGGTTGGGAACTGCACCAACTCGACGTTAATAATGCCTTTGTTCATGGCGACCTGGATGAGGAAGTATATATGCGCTTACCTCCAGGGTACTATTCTTCTCAGCAGAATAAGGTTTGTCGTCTTCGAAAGTCATTATATGGTTTGCGTCAATCTCCTCGAAATTGGTTTACTAAGTTGGCCAATTCACTTCGACGATATGGTTTTATACAGTCGCATTCTTGTATATGTCGATGACTTGATAGTGGCAGGCAACAATTCTCATGCTTGCACCCTATTCAAGAAATACCTAAATGATTGTTTCAAACTGAAAGATTTGGGGCCTCTTAAATATTTTCTTGGGATCGAGGTTGCCCGTAATTCTTCCGGTCTATTTCTTTGCCAACGTAAGTACACACTCGATATTTTTGCTGAGGTTGGCCTTGCTGGTGCTAAACCAGCCACAACTCCAATGGAGCAACACCACTCTTTAGCTCGTGCATCTGGTCGTGCTCTTCATGATCTGGGCCGCTATCGACGTCTAGTTGGTCGACTAGTTTATTTGACGATTACTAGACCGGATATTTGCTACGCAGTCCACATCTTGACACAATTTTTGCATGAGCCTCGTCAAGAGCACTTGGACGCCGCCTATCGTGTTGTTCGTTATCTCAAAGGATCCCCCGGTCAAGGTATCCTTTTACGGGCCGATAGTTCTCTCCAATTGTTTGCTTTCTGTGATGCTGATTGGGCTGCATGCCCACTCACACGTCGTTCACTTACAGCCTATTTTATTCAACTTGGGTCTTCCCCGATTTCATGGAGAACAAAGAAGCAACCTACTGTTGCCCAATCCTCTGCTGCCCAATCCTCTGCAAAAGTTGAATATCGTGCTATGGCTGTCACTACGTGCGAACTTACTTGGATCAAATCCTTTCTTGCATCTCTTGGCGTATTTCACTCGCAGCCCATGAAGCTATTTTGTGATAATCAGGCCGCTCTACATATTGCTTCCAACCCGGTGTTTCACGAGCGCACTAAACATATCGAGGTTGATTGTCATTACGTTCGAAGACAACTACTTGCCGGTTCTATCTCTACGGCTCACATTCGCACTGATTGTCAACCCGCAGATTTGTTTACAAAAGCTCTCGGCAATCAACAATTTCACAACTTATTGGGCAAGTTGGGTGTTCGAAATCCTCACTCTCCAACTTGAGGGGGAGTATTAGCGATAATCACGGAATTGTCATATATTTGCTTTCCTTGTATGTAAATAATTGCCTAGGTTGTAGTTGTAGCAATCCCATAATTTTCTCCCGTGATTTATTTTTCCTGATTTTTGGATTGTACATAATTGTACACAGGCCTTTATAAGCCACATTCTCTCAATGAAATAAATTATCATTTTCTCCTATAGTTACTTTATTAACTGTGTTTATAGATTTGTGATCAAATACATTCTGAAACTTTGTCTTAATTTTATTGTAATTTTCGTTTTTTGGTTTTACAATTTCTGCAATTATTAGACAATTAATCAATTATACATTAACTTTTTTTATACTGAGGATGATTATTCATAAGTTAACCATTAAATATATCATCTCAAAATTGTTTCACTAATTTTCATACACTATAAGTCTATAACACACACTTTTTGCTAAAAAAAATCATTTAAATGTTTAAATTATTTTATAAACATTTTTGAACATTTAAATATATAGTAATATAGAAGAGTTCTATTTATAAATTGTCAAGAAATACCCCATCTAAACATTGTTTATTGTTTCCCTACTTTCTTGAATAATTATAATATTTCGTTCAAAATTGTAAATAAACGTGTCATAATAATAACTAATCGAAATGCAAAAAAAATATTTATTTTTATATTTTTAAAGGTTCAAATCTTATATATAAAAAGAAGATATTTTGACTTATAACCTAGAAACAACCCTAGACCCCTTTTAGTAATTTCTTATTTTTGAAGTTCTTTTTTAAGATAATGGTTGTAACTTCTCTTTAACCTCCACGTTTATGGTAGCACATGTTTGACACTTCCTTTTTATGAGTTTTTTACATAACTGCTTTCTGCCTCTGTTACCGGAAATCCTCAAAACGGGTCAGAAATATCCGGTATTTTCATTCACAAGAAATCTCAGTTTTTACTGAGTATTTTTGTCTGTCCTAGGCCAATCAATCATCTGCCTGTGGTATTTTTTCTTTTTAAGAATTCTGGATTTCTTTTAGTATATTATGGATGCAATTTTGTATGATCGGTTGTTTAATTTGTAGTAGCCTGTGCGAAAAAATGATTAGTTTTTATTAATCCACGCTTGAAATTTTTTTTAGTTTTTTTTTGTTGTTGAAGGATTTCTTCGGGTAAATCTACTTATTTGCATCTTTGCTATAGGTATGTGTCAGATTTCTCTTCTTCCGGGTCTTTTATGTGAATTTTTTCCTTCTCAAAACACCCACTTATGCATTTTCTTCTTTCGCTCTGTAAGTCGAATTCACGAGGTTTGTCGTCATTTTGTAAGTCAGATTTCACGAGAGGTTCGGTGTGCACGTGATACGATATATATTTAATATATCGTATATTTATTCGTTAGTTAGTATTTTATTATTTAATATATTATTTAAGTATTATTTTAATTAGTAGTTTATTGATAATTAGATTAGATTAGTATATTTAGATTAATATATGGCGTGAGTAGTAGTGATTAGTGAATTATTAAGTATTTTATTAGTACAGGTAATTATCTTTCCTAGTGAGATTAGGATTCTAGGGTTTTATTCTCTTTAAATAGTCGTTTTGTGCTAGGGTTTTATTATGAAGAGAGAAATATTAAAGAATAGATCTTACGTTTCGTAGGAAATATTTATGATACTCGAGAGATCGCATCAGCACGCTACACGGTTGATGAAATTACCGCTTCACGCAGCAACTGTGTGATCAACGAAATTTCACATCATGAAATCCCTCTCTATCTCACCATCCACACGTCACCTTCTTATTTTTCATATTTTTCTGAACTTTTTTTTATAACTTCTCAATTTCATCTCCCATTAACTGAACCACCCACGCGTTCTTATTTTCAGTTTTATATATGTAATTTTTCTAAACTATTTTCTTATAACCTCTCCATTTCAATCTCATCTCACATCTGTATACCAACTCTAAATATAGTTTCGTCATTAATTCGCAAATAACTGCGAATTGCACACATAAATCTTCCACAAATTCTTAGTGCTTTTTGTTAATTTTAAACAAAAGAAAAAAAACGAACTGCTCAACACATCTTTATGATTGTAGACTTTTTTTTTTTACTAATTTTCTGTTATTATTTTTTCAGTGGGAAGATCCAGGGCCGATTCTGAGGGGAGGCGAAGTAGGCGGTCGCCTAGTGCCCCCGATTTTTTACGAAAATTTAGGGCCCCCAAATTATTGTATATACACTTTATATATTAGTATTTATTTTTAAAAATTTATTGTATATAATATTTTGGAACATCAATTCTAAAATAAATTTAAACTAATTAATCAATAGATATTTTCGCAATTTTCATAACCTTGGGGCCTCTAAATATTAAATTTATAATGTCTTAAGTACTTATTTTTATTCTAAAATAAGAATCAATATTCATTAGTGTATTCAAATTTATAAATATTTATGAAGTCTATTTGATATAAGGGTAAATTACAAACAACCCCCTGAGGTATGGGCAAATTACAAAAACACCCCTCTTGTTTGGATAATTACAACCACCCTCTCAGCTCTTCAAATTTAGTGGAATCTTCGAGATTATATGAAATATTATCACTTTTGTACCCGTTTTATACCATTCAAACTCTACATTATGAAGTAAGATGATCATAATATGTGATTTTTAGCTTGTGTATATCAGTTTGTAGTGCATCGGAAACTGTATTTTTACACAAAACGAATACAAAGTAGAGCACATTATACGGAATCTAGATGATTATATTGAATTTGGCACAATAAGGGTGGAGGTGTAAGAAAAAATCATAGTTGAGGGGGGTATATGTAATTATCCAAACAAGAGGGTTTTTTTGTAATTTGACCATACCTCAGGGGGGTTTTTGTAATTTACCCTTGATATAAAGATTACTAGACATGGGAGAGAGTGAACCATCAAATCATATATATTGTTTATTTTGAATTTTTTTTTCCATATTCTTAGTTATTTTATATTCATACATTTCAAAAAATATTTCGGGGGCACTGCCCCCAACCCCCCATAATCTTTTACTTCATCATTTTTAGAAAATATTATTTATATTTTTGTAGCACATTCAATTTCTAACACCTTTTAATAAAAAAAATGGTTTATCAAATAGGGGCCCCCGTTTTCAGTTGTTCTTTAAACCTCGCCTAGGGCCCCCGAATTCTCAGGAACGGGCCTGGGAAGATCAAATGAAGATAATTATTCTTTTCACAGGTCAAGTGTGTCTAATTTGGAGCTGCAGAATTATATAGCATTGTTTCGGTGCATTAAGTTAGCTAGCCATTGATGCAACTCTAATTATGTCAAGAATTGTCCGCGAGTGGGAATGGGAGGAGCCTCCGCACCGTCGTTAGCGAAAGCAACTGGCGAGGGTGGTCGATGATGCAATTTCGAGTAAGGATTTTATTTTTTTTGGAGAGAAAAAACAAAAAAAATGGCTTTCTTTCTCAAATGCGTTTCGAAAGAGCATTTTACGAAATATTTGGTTTCCTTTATGAAACGGCTTTCAAAGTTTTGGTTTCTCTTTTGGCCGCGATACTATTGCTATCTTTGTATTTCTGCCCAGGTAAACTTACACAGACCACCCTTATTCTTTAGTTTTTTGTGTCATGCAAACGAAAACAAGAAAATTGAATAGTATTATTATTTTTATGTTTTTTTTCCATATCCATCTACTACCTCTTTTTTTTTATATCTTATATATAAAGAAAGAATATGCATTTTCTCATAACTAAATTATGAGATATACCTACCTCTTCTCAATCGTGAAAACTATTGTTTCGTTGTATTGACCAACTTCTCAATACTACATATATAAACGATATATTTTTTGTGATGTTCTTGATTACTTAATTTCAATATATTTATAATATAAATAATTATTTTCTTCTCTTGGTAATGGTACCCCGTGCAACGCACGGGGCATGGTTTCTAGTATATATAATAGTATAAAATAATTATTCTTCAAAAAAAAATCGGGAACTCGTTTCCATGGCCTATATTCTCCCTTCTACTTTCGTAGAACCCAACCTTTGTTTTCTCAGTCGCCGTCCAATTTTCCGTCCAAATGGAAGACACTCAGTTCACAAATTCCGGTGCCGTGCGAAGAACCAAACCAGTAATTCACCCGTGAACGACGACGTTTCGGAATCTGAAAATGCGCTGCTCAAAATCGCGTGGTACGGCTCCGAATTCCTCGGCGTAGCTGCTTCTTTCCTCCGTTCTCCGGCTAAAATTGGGGACGCCGGAGCTTCTACAGAGCTTTCCGTCGACGTGTCTGGAAAAATTGACCGCGCCGCTGTTGTGGAGACTATTAAACAGGATTTCCAGAGATCCTATTTTGTTACAGGTACAAAAACTGGTAGTGTTTGATGTGTGACATAATTGCTACTTAAATCATGTTTCAACGAGTAATTGCAATTGAAATTGAAATTGAAATTGGAATTGGAATTGCAATTGAAATTGAAATTGGAATTGGAATTGCAATTGAAATTGGAAGTAGTCCTTAAGGTTTTTATTTGGCTGCAATTATGGGAAACAACTGAAATTGGAATTGGAATTGTTTTTGAAGTTTTTTATTTAGCTGCAATTGTGGGGAAAAAACTGAAATGTTATATATGAGTATTTGTTTTGTAAATCTGTAGGAAATCTGGCTCTTGATGCTTACGAAGAGGACTGTGAATTTGCCGACCCAGCTGGTTCGTTCAAAGGGCTAAGCCGATTCAAGAGAAACTGTACTAATTTCGGATATCTACTCGAAAGGTCAAATATGAAACTTATGAAATGGGAGGATTTTGAGGTGAGATTTGCCATAATAATAATAACAATACTTCACACTTTTATAACAAATCGATTGATTCCCTTTTTCGAGTTTTAATTTAGTCAAGTTGTTTGTGATAAACGCGTATTCTATATGAAGAATTATGTATATATCGAATTTGGTGGGATTTGTTATAAATCAACATTGTTGATTTCTTGACTGGGAACAGGATAAGGGGATTGGACACTGGCGTTTCAGCTGTGTTATGTCGTTTCCATGGAAGCCGATTCTATCGGGTATATATATACACACACACATATATACATATGTACGGACTTGACGATAATCCTATTATTTGGTTTGTTAGGTTATCTGATTTTTTTGTTATATTGTTTGCAGCTACTGGTTATACAGAGTACTACTTCGATGCAAACACCGGAAAAGTATGCAGGTATATATGTATATATTTATGTTGTTAATCACCATTGATTGATTAGCTACTCTCTCTCTCTACATTTCGTTTTCTTGAAATTCGATTGCGTGTTTTATGGGATATTTCAGGCATGTGGAACATTGGAATGTTCCGAAAATGGCTCTTCTTAAGCAAATTTTCAGGCCTAGTAAAGTTGCTTAGGGACAACAAATCTATCTCACAAACATGACAGTTTGAATTTGAAGGTTGGAGAAAATGCTACATTCATCTGTATAAATTTTTATGAACAAAACAATATGTACATAATGTTGTTTACTCTCGTATAATAGCTTGTAAATCGTATGAGAGACGTAAATCACACTAGGCTAACGATGTGTGACAAGCTCGACTTAGCGAGGATTCGAACCTGGGTCAATGGATACAGGCTCACTTGCTCCAACCGCTAGGCCATCCCTCTTCCGGGACTATAATGCAGTTTCTAGTTGAATTTGAGTGTGTAGCAAGATTACATTAATAGAGAAAAATGATTATAGAATTACAAAATTGGTAATTATTTTGGGTAAATTAGGTACTTTTTTCAGCTCATAAATAAAAATAAAAATAAATGGTAAATTGCTTCACTATAGATTTATACGATTGGATATATAATAGATTCATGTTATGGGCCATTGTTAGTACTAAGCCCATTTCTATTTTTGTTGTGGGCTTTTTAGTCTATGCTTTGGAAATTGACTCTTGAAATAGTGGATATAGGATAAAATAAAATATTTAGTATTTTTATAATTAATTTATCTTTAAGAAAAGTGATTGAAGGTCATTGTTATCATAATCTTTACTTTTAAGTGATTTTATGCATAATATTATTCTAACTATTTTTGAAGATATTTTGTATTTTAATAATAGTAATTCAATTATTTTGTATTTGTTAGTGTGGGTATGTGCATCAATAAAATATTGAAACACACTTAGTTAACATATAATCATTTTTAAAGAATAAATATTCTTGTCACGTTGAAGAAAAATAAAAAAAGGAAAAGTAAAGATAAGTGTTTGATTGTTGGTGAGGGTGTACAAGGTGAGAGTGTGTGGTGGGGCACAGGCAATAGAAGCCCCGTGAAGTGGGTGGGTGGGTAGAGAGAGTAGTGCGGTGAGACGAGGCTCACGGGCGGTGGAAGAATATTGAGGCGCCACTACCAATGTGTGGGGCCCACTAACTACTTTCCAACCGAAATAAACCAAAATACTATGCTCACAAGCCTTACAGTACACTCACTCATGTAATTATTAAGTGTTGATGTGATTAAATAACTTCCCACTAAGTACACATATACATGAGTACGTGTGTGTGATTGCCGATTAATAATTACTGAGTGTAGCATCAAACAACAAACCAGTACACTCGTCCTTCACGCCTCAATATTTTATTATTATTTCCTTTTCTTTCTTTTTGTAATTTTTTACAAGAATTCACACAATATTTAACTCCAAAAAAGTTAAAATACTTTTTTATCTCTACATATAAATTCTCATTCATTATAAAGAACAATAAAATATCTTTTAATTTTAACTTTTTAGACATGGAAATTTATTTATTTAATTAGAGAGAGAGAGAGAGAGAGAGAGAGAGAGAGAGTAGCACCACATAGCCTTCTATATATAAATGAGCTTGTCTCTTAATACAAACATCAAATTATCCAAATTATCAAAGGTGGCTCTTTTTCTCATGCATTTCTTGGTTATATATTATTTTGTAAACATTATTTAGAATTTTGTTTTCCTTGATAGATGAAGAAGCAAATGAAGGTGTTTGTGTTGGTGGTGGTTATGGTGGCGGGTGTAATAATGGAAGGAACAGAGGGTAGAAAGGGAAAGATTGCAGGGTCGTTGGAGTACTCAGCCATTAGTTGCAGAGCTCACAGTGCATCCATACTTGATTTTGGTGGTGTGGGTGATGGAGTTACCCTAAATACACAGGCTTTTAGATCAGCCGTTGATCATCTCAGCCAGTTTCAATCCGACGGTGGTGCTCAGCTCTTTGTTCCCGCCGGAAAATGGCTCACCGGAAGTTTTAATCTCACTAGTCATTTCACTCTTTATCTGCATCAAGATGCAGTCATTCTTGCTTCTCAGGTATTTACCAAAAGAAAAAACACACACACACAGTGGTATTGATTAAATATTTGATTTTCTTTTTTATGGTAAAAGTTGCTTTACTAGTATATGAAAAAAAAAAAAAAGAGAGATTATTTTAGTGAGGGTAAGAATGTCATTTATTGAGTGCAGATTGGATTTTTGTCCGGGATCAAAAGGTTTACATAATTTTATAAAGGGCAACCCATGAGGTAATAAATTACGACAAAACCCCTCATGTTTGGGTAATTACAAGCACCTCCCTGAACTATGAATCTTTCTTACACGTCCACCCTTGAGGTGTCAAATTTAGTAAAAAAATTCTAGATTATGTGGAATGTTATTTAGTTTATACATGTTTTGCCCCATTCGAGCTCCATATTTTGAAACAAGATGATCGTAAAATGTATCTCTTCACTTGTAATATCAGATTGTGGTGCATCAGAGACTTTTTTTTTTTTTTTGCACAAAACAAGTACAAACTAGAGAACATGTCACGAAATCTAGAAAATTCTGCTAAATTTAACACTATAAGGGTGAATATGTAAAAAAATCATAATTGATGGGTTATTGTAATTACCCAAACATAAATGATTTTTTTCGTAATTTGATCATTACCTCAGGGTGATTTACCCTTTTATAAATCCAAAGACATAATAAGTAATAACCTGGGAGGATAATTAATTGATAAAAATAATTAATTGAAATGAAATTCAGGAAATAAACACATGGGCAGTGATTGATCCATTACCATCATATGGGCATGGAAGAGATGCAGCTGGTGGAAGATACATCAGTCTTATTTTTGGTACCAATCTTACTGATGTCGTCATCACAGGTAATTAATTAGTGATGATATTATTGTTAATTAGTGTAATTAAAATGATTATTAATATTAATAATAATAATATTCTGCAGGTGAGAATGGAACAGTAGATGGACAGGGTTTAGTATGGTGGCAGCAGTTTAAAAAGAAGAAGCTGAAATACACAAGGCCTTATCTTCTTGAAATCATGCACTCTGATAATATCCAGATTTCTAATCTTACATTTCTCAATTCTCCTTCCTGGAATATCCACCCTGTTTACACCAGGTATTTTTCTGTGTTTCTTTGTGTGTGTGTGTGTGTGTGTGTGTTTATTAGTCTCGGTTAGGGGTGGAAATTTGGAGTTGAGTTTGCGAATTCCGCCGATTCTGATTCGAATATTTTCGATTTTGGAACAACATTTTTTTTACTGAATTCCGAATGTCCCGATTTTCGTTTTTTTTTTACAGAATTGGAATACATATTAGATTCTGATTTCGCGATCTGATTTTAAGTCACGAAATATTTTCTAAAATAACTTGTTTCTGAAAATTACACTTATAATATCAATATTATTATATAATTTATATTACAGGTAACCAAAAAATTGGAAATTTTTTATATTCCAATTTGAAAAACTCGGATTTCGAAACAATTTTTTTCATTCCAATTTCTGAATTTCCAGTTTTTTTATAACGGAATTGGAATTAGTTTTTCAATTTCGGAAGTGCTAATGTCAATCCGATCAGATCGACTTCCACCCCTATTCTCAATTTTCACATGCTCCATTTTGATTTAGAAATAGTGATGAAATTTCATATTTTGCAGCAACATAATCATACAAGGGATCACAATCCTAGCTCCAATCACATCCCCAAACACAGATGGCATCAATCCAGGTCTTTCTTCTTTAAACATTCAATAAAATAATAAATTAAACAAAAATAGAATTTTTTTTTAACTTTATTTACATTCTTTATAAATGAGACAGATTCTTGCACAAACACGAGAATCGAAGACACGTACATAGTCTCCGGCGACGACTGCATAGCAGTAAAAAGCGGTTGGGACGAATACGGTATTAACTACGGTATGCCAACTAAGCATCTCATTATCCGACGGCTGACGTGCATTTCGCCCTACAGTGCCGCCATAGCGCTGGGCAGCGAAATGTCGGGCGGCATCCAAGACGTCAGAGCCGATGACATCACCGCCATCCAGACAGAATCCGCCGTCAGAATCAAGACAGGTGTCGGCAGAGGGGGCTACGTGAAGGACATCTTCGTAAAAAACATGAAACTACACACGATGAAGTGGGTTTTTTGGATAACCGGAAATTACGGGTCGCACGCGGATACCCACTTCGATCCGAACGCCTTGCCGGAGATAAAGGGGATTAATTATCGGGATATTGTGGCGGAGAATGTGACCATGGCCGCCAGATTGGAGGGAATATCCGGCGACCCCTTCACGGGAATTTGTATCTATAATGCGACTATAGGATTGTCGAAGAAGCCGAAGAAGTACCAGTGGACTTGTTCGGATGTGGAGGGGGTCACCGGAGCGGTGGTGCCGCCGCCGTGTGCGCTGCTGCCGCCTACTCAGGTGGATGAGAAATTTGGGATGTGTGATTTTCCTTCGGACAGTTTGGCTATTGATAGTGTGGAGTTGCAGAAATGTTCTTTTGAAATGAACTTGTTTTAATATTTTGCTTAGGATTTTATTACTACTTTTATTATGAATTCAGAGGTTTTCCTGTTTGATTTCGATGTGTGACTATATTTGCTACCCTTTCAAGCCTACTTTGGAAACAAAGACAGGACTTGATAGATAAGATAATCAATATGTATTAAGGTCTCGTTTGGTTGCCTGGATAAAATTAAATAATATAATGAAAACCTAATTAGTTTATCCGACCCCGAGACGTCCAACAAAAAAAGGAAGATAAACCATAATAACATAATATTTGCAGGTCTACCTGATAAGTTATCGGAGATACCAAACATCAAACAAAGTCCAATTATTTAGTTAGTCATAGCTAATTTCCCCAACCAAACGAGGACTAAATGTTTTGCATAATCAAACCTTAAACATAAGATAATCACATATTACATTATCATGGACAGTGTAATACTATCCAATTCAATCCCGAACGAAGGCCTGATTGAAGAACTAATCTATAAATAGGAAGGATTCAATTCGACTCAAGCCATCGAATGAAATCTATAAAACGAAACTAGTAATGTGTGTGTATTTGACATACAAAACATACAACATATGATTAAAGAAACGAAGGTCTCGGTACATTATGTTATTTGAGCTCACAACCAAAATAAAATGCTAGAACAGTTCGATATTCCGATATGTATCATCACCATTACAATTATTATTAATTTACCTTTAGGACAGAAAAATCCGTCAATGAGTTGGATCCGGATTGAAATTTACGGATTCCCTCCAAATGAGTTCCTTGATATTTTCTTCAGTAAAAGATGGCTGCTCAAAATCGAAAGAAAAAGGCCTAGGGCAAACTGGCTCCTCGTTAATATCGTGAAGTGGTGCCAAGTATGGATGGCACAGAGCCTCGTGAACTGCAAAAAAATGGTCAAGAAATTAAAGATCAATTAAATGTCGAGAATTTGAATAATCTACAAAATAAATACAAGAGAAAGTATATGTAATATAGTCTTTCTTTTTTACTTGATTATTTCACTGGAAAAATGAAATAAAGCGACGACAAATATCACTCGTTGGATATATAATGATTATATTTCTATGATTGATCTTTTGCGGCATCGTTTTTAATATTTGGATACCTGTAATACGTTTGGTTGGGTCAAATACAAGCATTTTCTCTAATAAATCGATAGCTCCAGGAGCAATGTTGGGAAATCGAGCAGAAAATTGCTGCTTCGGATATTGAGGGAGCTGCCTAACATATCTTCGTGCATTATCACTCCTTAGAAACCCGAGACTAGCATCGTCTGGTGATCCTATAAGCTTCAAAAAATAAGAAACACAACATGTTCAGTATTTTAAAAAAAAAACACTTAATTAAAGAATATATGCAAGAATATTTGTAATTGCACAAATGCAAATGCAAATGCAAGTGCAAGAATTTGTAGAGTTGAGCATAAGATCCATGAGCAGGCAAAGTTCACGTCATGTTTCCTCGGATGTATAAAATATAGTGTAAATTACCAAAAACCCTTCAAGTATTCATAATTACAAAAAATATCCTCACGTATTCATAATAACCAAAAACCATGCAAATATTCCAAAGTTGTTCTAAAACATGGTACGCAAGTAATACAAATCTTGTTGCTAATGACAGGAATCAATATCATATCAAGAAAATGCAATCAGACAGTTAGAAAAGAATGATATATATTTATTCTGACTACTTTATTTACGAAAAAAAAATCATATACCTCAGTAATAAGCCTTAACTGATGAACGTAATCTTTGCCAGGAAATAGAGGTTGTCTTGTCATGATTTCACCGAGTATGCAACCAACGGACCATATATCAATTGCGGCAGTGTATTCAGAACAATTTAGGAGCAATTCTGGGGCTCGATACCAACGAGTAACAACGTACTCGGTCATGAAATCAGTTTCCGATGTTGTCCTAGCAAGCCCAAAATCTCCAATTTTTAAATCACAATTAGCATTGAGGAGCAAATTGCTCGGTTTTAGATCACGGTGCAATACATTTGCAGAATGAACGTATTTCAGTCCTCGCAGAATTTGGTAAAGAAAGTACTGCAAAAAAAATTGAATGAGAATCAAATTAGACTAAGGCAGTATATTGAAGTCAAATTCGTGCAGCTGAAAATTTGCTCACTGTGTTTAACGTATTAGATTTTGTTAATCAATATAGCACAGAATAAATGATTAAAAAAATATTCTTTAAGATGTAAGAAAATGAGGGCAAACCCGAGAATGGTCGTCAGCCAATGGTTGGTTGGAGCGGATAATATGATGAAGATCCGTGTCCATTAGTTCGGAAACAATGTAGACATCGTTGAAGTTCTCTTTCTGCGGGGGCCGTATTATGTCTTTAATTGCAATCACCTGTTGAGGTAAGCAAAAGACAGAAGAATACATATTATGGTACAAAAAACGAAGAATTATGGTCCCAGATTAAGTAAAGAAGTCAGAGCTAAACAGAAAAATCGAACGAAGACAGAATGTAATCCAAGAAAAGACTGTCAGCAGTAAACCCTTTAAGAAATTAGAATCTTCAAGATTCTAATTAAATACGGTAATTAAAGATGAAAAACTGAATGCTGATAAAGCGTTAGAATGAAGACTAAGAACGAAATTTTGCATATATAGGTCCTGAAAGGCTTACGTTATCATGACTCAAGTGAAGCAAAAGTTTGACTTCCCTTAGTGTCCTCTTTGCGTCAATTTTGTTATCAAATGCATTGCCGATTTTCTTGATAGCAACTTCTTCACGTGTTTCAGAGTTCACAGCAGCACTGAAAATAAAATATAAAATATTCAACACGAAGCTACACAATCTGCCAAATTAATTTTAGACACAGCAGAAAGAACTGTGGCTGGTTCAACTATCATAAATCAAAATCTATCAATCCAGTATAGCATCGGAATTCACTTCCGTAACACGTTTTCTCTTTTTTTCTTTTCTTTTTTTGGAAAATACTGCCGTACATTAGTCATTATTGTTTTGAGAGAGAGAAATTTTGTAAGTTAATTATATATCTTTATGACGCCACAAAGTTCCATCGTACACTTAGCGCAATGCTGGAGTATATAAATGAAAAGGAAAAAAACAGCGAAACGCCTACGATTTATATAAAGCAAAGATTTGCTCTCTGCACCTCGTTTGGAATCAAGCACTTACTTCTACATAGATTATATAGATCTAGAGCTAGAATTCACCGATATATTACCAAAACTAAAGTCAGAAAAAAACGGCTTATTAATTCCCCGGAAACGAAATTCACAAAATTTGTCGAACAAAATCCATTTCACTCTAAATCTATACACATCATATGGTTATTCAACAAAAACACGAAGAACAACCAAAAACATCATAAAAGGTAATTAACTTCAATCCCAATTGCACTACTCTGCCCGAATCATCAAAGATTGCTAACTTCAATCTAAATACAGATCTGACATTAAAAAAAAAAAATTCTAAACATAACGAACAAAAACCCTCACCTTCAAACCATCAACATACCCAAGTCAACTACAAGCAAGTCAACACCAAGTCATCTAAAATCACAACTATGAAAAAATGAAGAACAACAACAACAACAACAACAACAACAACAAAAACAAAAGAGGTTCGAGAAAAATAATTAAATAATTACCAAACAATGCCGTAAGCACCACGGCCAACAGGCCTGAGAGGAATATATTTCTTCGAAACCTCAAACAGATTCCCGAACATATTGTACTGCACATATCTTCCGCCGTGAGTCGGCACCCCTCTGAAACTATTCCCGCCATGATCACTGCTCGACTCCATATCCAAATCCTCCTCAGAAGAGAGTAAAATTGGAAAATTAGGGTTTGTAATGAAATAGTTTGGATTTGATCGTGTTGTGCGTGGGTGCTTGTGACAGCAAAATCAAAATGTGAGAGGTTTCCAGAGAGAGAAAGGTGAAATTTGGTTGTCAACTTTTGAACTGGAATGAGTTGAGATTACCGTGATCCGGTTTTTTTTTTTTTTTTTTTTTTTTTGATCTTCAACCATATACACTGAGTACTGGTTGACTGTGCGTGCGTCCATATGTTTTTGCTATTTTTCATTATTTTATTTTAATTATCATTTTCACTTTTTTATTCCTAGTTGTTCCTACCCTTCATAGTAGTTGGAGCTAATTAATACAACTCAAAATGGTATATACTTATGCCTATGGTTAGGGGTATAAATGATTCGAGCCGAGTCGAATTTGACGAGCTCGATCTAGAGCTTATTTCATCAAACTTTCGTGTATTAAGCATGAGTTCAAGCTCAAACTCATTTTTTAAATTATTATTAATATTATTGTATATAAATTAATAAAATAAAAAAATGATTGAAATTCATTTATCTTAGTTTTCAAATATGTTTATTATATTATCGTTATTAAACTTTATTTAGTAATACATTTTATTTATTATATTAAAAATTAAAAATTGGGGGAAGAAAAAGGGTCTTATTTATTAGGTCAAAAGACAAAATTCCACGGCCCGGGGCCCTCATTCTCTGGCCCGACATTTTTTTTTTCCTCTTGTTGAAACGAATATTCAGACAAAGCCAGCTGCCTTCCAGCTGAGCAAAAGCAATTTTGCAGCCACTATAATACAAGCCATAATTTTTATATAAAAATATAATTAAACACAAGTTCAAACATTTATATTAATTCCATTACACATAAATCCCACAACTCACAAGCTCTAATAATACTATCTCAACAACATTCAATATACATTCAACCATATCAAAGCAGTACATTTCCTTACCATTCATGTTGTGTATATACGTAAACGTATAAATCTTCACCTAACCGCCTGCCCATCTAAACGATGATTAGTTCGCATTTGATCGAACACATCACCACCAACCCTAAGATTACAAAGCAAAGCATCTCTCCCCGTTAAAACTACTTGAAAGAAACCATCCACCTCCTTTCCAAGCAAATTCAAACCATCGGCGAATTTCTCGGTCGATTTTTCCAGATCCAGTGTGCACTTCATCAACTCTTCATCTCCAACGGGTCCCACCCCTACACAGTCTCGCACAACGGGGTACAACTTCTCGACACCTGTCACAACATCTTCGATCTCCTTCAGAACCGCGAAACTCCCATTTGTAGAATTTCTAATTTCGGTATTTACAAAAGTTTGGAGATCGGCAAAAGTCTCACCCCACAAGTACGTCTCGGAAACTTGTACGTCCGAAAGACTCTTTGCCGAGCCAGAGAGTGCAGCTGCAAACGCACTGCAAACAAAAAGAGTCACCGCTTTAACTCCATACATAGCTCGCATCAGAACTTTCCCCTTTGAGGAGTTCTTGATTTTCGGAAGGTCGAGCGTTCGAGCAAGGCTTTCCATTACAGAGAAGCAGTTTTCGAGTTTAGGGTTTTTCGAACCAACGTGTTTCCTCCATCCATCCAATGAGGAACGGGCACTCACAAACTTATTCGAGGAAGCACCGGTTAAGCTATGCAAGGCGCATTGAAGGAAAAGGCGGCCTTGTTTGAGGCGGGAAATTTCGGAGGTGAAGGCGATGCAGATATCGAGCAACTTAACACTGTTGTCCAAGTAGACATCGATCCACTTGTCATCCCAGTCACAGACAGGGAGTTCGAGGGCAGTAATGAGAACTTTTATGTCTGCGTGAATTCCACACAGTGATTCTATTGCGGCTTTCATCCATGAGAAGCTTAGGACATCTTTCTTGTTTGCTGGCTTAAGCTTATTAAGCCTTGCGGACAATGTTTCTTCAAAAGTATTCAATAAATCGAGCAGCTTTGGAGATAGGTTTGATCCCTTTGCCTTCATCATGCGGAAGGGGTTTCCGAAGGGGAGAAAAGTTTTGTGTGGATCCTGTGAACGGCTCATTTTATACACTTAAAACTGCCGCAAGAAAAAAAACGTATAGTACATTAGATAACGATAGCTAGCGAAGCCGCTCCATAAGTATGTTTGGACTTCGTATAAATAATGCTATCAAGCAATTTTAGTACAAAAAAAATTCAATTTAAAAAAATTAAAACCAGTACAGATGTAAGAGCACAAATTCATAGGTTATTTTCACAATTTTGTTCTGATGCACTTTGGAATATCCTAAAAGTGTATCTCATGAGAATTTGTGCCCCTCTAAATAACTGTAAGTCGGAGGCGATCAATAAATTAACCGAAAAAACTACCTTTTAAGAAGAAAAAAAATAACGAAGAACTAGACAAACTAACAATTGAAAGCATAAAAACAGATCAGACAACTCCTATAATTCTCAATTTAAGGACCATAAAATCACCAATTAACATGATTTTTATTATATATAATTTCCCATGATACGTAAATAATGCCCAAATTCTAGCACACAAGCATCTATTAAAATATTTTAATCCAGAAACCCATAAGAAAGTAATCAATAAAATTTAGCATAATTACAAAAAATCTACTCAGATCTATAATAATAATAATAATGATAATAATAATAATAATAATAAATAAATAAAAAAAAATCATAAAATTTATGTCGGTTGGATTGAGAAACTCAAAGATGATACACAGATCTTAAACCAATTATTAGATCTACTTACATCTACACAGATTAAAACGGTCAACGCACAAATTAGCTCCCAATTATCACAATTCAAACCCGAAATTCAAAATCTAAGCTAATTTCCATCTCTAATCATATTATACTCGAAGAAAAATTACAGAATCATCTATGTCAATCAAACAAAAAAATTACCGCTAAAAAAACGAAGAAAAAAATTTAATCCGTCGATAACTCACCGAAAAAAACAGATCTTCACCGATTAAACGGCAAACGGGCAAAAATTTCCGTAGATCTTCAAAATTGGACTGGAAAATTCAAAGCAAAACAACTAATTTCTAACACCTAAAAGTATAATATATTAGGGCGAAGAAAAGTATGTAGATACACAGAAACGTGTATGTATATTATAAATATATAGAGAGAGAGAGAGAGAGAAACAGCCGTACCTGAAACAGTACGCGTGTATAGAAGTGGCGAAAATTCGAGGAAATTGTTTTAGTGTTGTAGTGGTTTTTTTGGGGGAATTTATGAGATTAAAATTGTTAGTGGGGTGAGACACGTGGCGGGAAGTGTGTGGATGTGAGGTTTGGGGTGTATTTTAAGACGGTAGGGGTGCGAGCAGGTGATCAAGTCGGCAAAACGGACCTATCGTGATATTATATAATATATTCGATCAACTTGCTCAAATAAAATCTAACTACAATACGTGTAAGATAACTATTCACTAAATACAATTAATTAATCATGGTTAATTTGACTAACCAAATAACGTCAAAGACATATTGAGATAAATTATTATATTATATTTTTAAATTGGACCTTATAGTAGAGTTGATTTTTTTTATATAAATAAAGTATATACAAAAGATGAAAATTGTTCAAAAATTGACTTTTAATTTGTAAATGTTTTGCGCCCAAGCCCGCATATTTTATTGATAGATATTAGCATGCAATTTACAAATTAAAATCTTGATGGGATGAATTGCAGGTTTTGATTAACCTAACCAATTTTTTTAAGTTAAAATCTTGCAAATGATGACTTTACTGGTGTGGTGGAGTAAGATTATTCGAATACAAACTCAATTACCAAATTAGATTTTACATATCTTGTAGAATTTGTGAATTATTGTACAGAGTGTGGAGTTTATCTTGATTAGTCGAGTAGTCTATTCTTTTGTCAATAAAAGATAGAAAAGGCAATAGTGGACTTTTTAGTTTTTATAATGGCTTTCAACTTTTTAAGTTTTTCTTAGGAAGAAAAAAAAGGGGAGCCTTTAGACTTTTATTTATTTTTTGGGTAAATTACAACCATGCCTGATGTATGTTAAAATTACGAAAACCTCTCTCATGTTTGGTAATTACAACAAGTTCCTCAACTATAATTTTTTTTACACGCTCACACTCGCGGTTTAAAATTTGATGGAATCTTCTTGTTTATATGAAATATTATCACCCATTTTATCCCATTCGAGCTCCACATTTTGAAGCAAGATGATCATAATATGTATTTTTTGGCTTGTATCTATCAAATTGTGGTGCATCAGAAACTATATTTTTACACAAAAACGAATACAAATTAAAGCACATTCCATGGAATCTAGATGATTATGTTGAATTTGACACCATGCAGGTGGAGGTGTAAAAAATTCATATTTGAGAGGTGTAGATATAATTATCCAAATAAAAAGGGAGTTTTCGTAATATGACCATACCTCGGGAGGACGGTTGTAATATACCCTTTATTTTTTAATTTAAGATAACATTTTCTTATTAGGATTGAGGTTGAACCAAAGACCTACCACTAGAAATATAATACAATGGAAAATGGAGATTTCCTTACACACACACAATTGAGATTGAACCAAAGACCTTCCACTAGAAAAATGAAAACAATGTACCACTCAATCACAAGATTAGCAGTATTTGAGGTTGTTAGTTAAGCATAATTATGAATCAAATTTAAATAAATTTTTCTAACATGCATGAAAATAAAATACTCGAGTTTGATTCGATTTGTGTTCGACTCTTTCAAACTCAATTTGACCAATATAATAATCAAACTCAAATTTTGACTCATTTGAATAGTAACAAATGAAACTCGATTCATTTACATTCTCTGACTCGATTCAAAACTCGATTCGTTTACATCCCTATCTCAGACAATGCTGATTTTACAAACATACATTTCCAGCCTTAAGCAAATAGGAACTTTGCCTAAAAAATCAATTTGCCAGCTCATTTTCATTCCCACCACGCAATTATGAATTAAATTTTGTTGTGCTCTATACGAAATAATAAATTCCCCTGGCAGTGATGTGAAATTACTACCATGCCCCCAACATAATACAAACATTACATGTGAATGCAACATTACTAGATGCATGCAAATAAACATTATACTTTCTTAACCAAATTAGCTAATTAAACAAAAAAAGAAAGAAAAAAAACATTGTGTCACAACATGTTTTGTGATGCAAATTTTCTTAACAGAATATGATGCTACCTAATTAATTTATCCCAATTTAGATATTGCAAACTGCCCAACTAGAGTTGGACAAGGATGAAAAACTACGATTTTAGAGTACGATAAACGTGTGTATTGTGTGACGTCGATTCTTTCTTGAAATTCAAAGAAACGTGCATTTCGCTGCAATTTGTAATATAGTATAGAGGTAAAGAAAGACGACTCGCTTTACGAATTATAATGCTTTAAGGCAGCTGCTAAACAAAAAACAATGGTGATAAATAAATAAATATAACTAAAAGTTGATAATGAAATGGTATAATTAAATAATTAATAAAGCATATAAAACGAATCATTTATTAAAAAAATTCAAATAATGATAATACTATCTCAATCTAGTTGTTGGCATATTGTTGTTCCTATTTCTATCCACTCCATTAGAAAGATCAGATATACCTTCACTGCTTTGTTTATTAGCCATCTCTGTATGTGAACTCGAAGATTCTCGACCTACTCTTCGTTCCTGAAAATTTGAGCACCCTTTTAATTAGTAACGGGAAATTAATAATTAAAGAAATGTATTGATTAATTTTTTGAATTTTAGAAGAAAAAAAATTTGTGGGAGCATACATCGCGAGATAGCAAGTCCTCTGATTCGAGCATGTGGATCACATGCCCCATTTTGGGCCTCTTTTGGGCATCGGGATCAACACATCGAAGGGCTACTAAGATAAGACGTTTTAGTGCTTTTGAAGCGGGCTTTTCCGTTATTTTAGGATCAATTACTTCCTCCGATTTTCTATTTCCGACCATCGTCTTTAGCCAATCAACTAAATTAACCTGCAAAAAATCAATATATTTTGAATATTTCGGGATCAACAACAATTGCAATATGATTGATTAAAAGGTAAGACTTACCTCTCCCTTTGGCCGACTGTAATCGACAGGAGATCTTCCTGTAATAATCTCCATAATCAATATTCCAAAGCTATAAATATCGCTCTTCTCATTCAGCATACCCCGTGCAAGCATATTCCGGTGCAACGTATCTAGCCGAAGAACCAAACCAATTATATTTTAATAAAAAAAGAATTATGTTTGAGGAAGAGAAAAAAAAAAAAAAAAAAAAAAAAAAAACTAACCCAAATGTTCCCATCACCCGAGTCGTGACATAAGAATTATCCGAATTTAAAAGCTTAGCAAGTCCAAAATCAGACAACTTAGGATGCCACTGACGATCGAGTAATATGTTGCTGGTCTTGATGTCACGGTGAACAACCTTCGGTTCTAGGCCCTCGTGTAGATAAGCCAAGCTGCAACAAAGAAGAGTAAAAAAAAAGTGAATATTAATTTTTATGTAGAGAAATATTGAAGTAATTTTTGAGTCACCACCATTACCCCTTAGCAGTTCCTATAATAATATTCATACGAATCTCCCATGTCAAAGGGCTGACTTCTCCTACATCTCCGTGAAGCCACTGGTCCAAATTTCCGTTGTCCACATATTCATAGACGAGCATCCTATGTAGTACGAGAATGAAAAAAATACAATTAAGAAACTTTAGAAGCATATAAGTATTTTGACAGCCATGTAGCGAAAAATGAAATAGTTACCACTACCTGTAAGCTCCTTCGACGCAGTATCCGAGTAACCTAACAAGATTCTTGTGTCGAACACGTCCAATTGCTTCCACCTCCACCTTGAACTCTTTTTCAGCTTGACCCCTGGTAATTAATCATGATTAAGCATAATCAGTATCAAGCATTCGCTTAGCTATGAATAGATACATACACTTACACAGTTGAGCTTAGAAATCTTTCCATCGTTTAACCATAGAAAACTAGGAATACAACAACACGAGAAACATGCTCGTAAACAATGGGGGAGTCATTTTGTATTCCCGGTGACAAAATAATTATTAAACAAAAAAAAACACAAATCTCAAGGGGCTGGAAATACAACACTACTTGAAAAATAACAAAACATCGACATAAAACCCTTTTGGAAAAATTAGGCCCTGTTTGGTTGATGATTTTAAAATTAGGGAAATGAAAAATGCAAAAGAAAATAAAAACAAAGAATTAAAAAATGATCTATACTTCTCTAGTATATTTGGTTACCAAGGGAAATGGTGATGAAATTGATTATGTGGAAAATCATGAAAATCATTTTCTTCAACTACTCCCACAATTGGGTGTTTTACCATTTTCCTTTATCCAAAATGAGCCTTAATCTTTTTCAAAAATCCGAAAGCGAATAGAGAGGAATTTTCCCGTACCTATTATTCAACAAATTCTTGATGGCAATTCGGGTATTATCAGCCAACTCGCCGTAATACACAATACCATATCCACCTTCACCGATCACATTCTCGTCCGACAATCCATTAGAGGCTGCTTCGAGCTCTCTCAATGTATACCATCTTCCCCATCCCAAATGTGACACCTCAGGCAATGATCCACTGCCTCCAAATGAAGCAGTGTCAGCACCACTGGTTGCTCTGCTCTCACCGCTCGATGCTCCTCTATCGGAAAACACCACTCTGTGCTCCACTTTGCCCATATCTATCTGTATCTCAGGTACTCCCTAAAAAAGGGGAGATGGTATTTTTTTCTCAGCAATTTAATTAAGTTGTAAGCAATCCAAATAGTAGAAATATGAAGGAACAATTAACACCCTGCATTTTTCATAATATTTTGCAGTTGAATTTTAAATCGATCAGTTAGATAGTGAAATAATCGACTGATAATTAGGAATTATACCATAATGAGGTTTTAAATACAGTAATTTGGTACAAATTAGCTCAGTTGGAAAGGACAAATAGATCTTGTTGTAGTACTAACCTGCGGTGCAATGGGGCGGTGAGCGGCGGCGGAGGTGTTGTCGTGGACGATCTCCTGGATTTCCTTGGAGACGGCGGGGGTAATCTCGGCACCGCCGGAGAGCGACGATTGACGGCGGCGTTTGCCCTTGCCCTTGCCGCTGCTGCTGCGGCGGCGGGAGGCGGTGACGCAGAGAGATAAGAAGAAGAGGATGAGTACAATCACGACTCCGAGGACTATACCGATCACCACCCATAGATGGAGACCGAAGATCGAGGTCTTCTTCGACAGCTCGGTGTCCACAAACGCCGCATCGTACACTGACATCTTCAATCCAAAATTGAAAATCAACCACAGCGTGTGTGTGTGTGTGTGTGTTTTACTGTGTGAATGGTGGTGGAATTGAGAAACCGAACATGCAAATGGAAATCGAAATTGAACCACACAAATCTGGATTTGTTGGGTTACCAGAAAATGAAATTAAGCACAACAGAGTGTTCATACACACGTCGTGTATAATAATCGGTCGGAGTAAGCTTTAGCGACCGAGAGAATAGAGAAATGAACAGAACGGAAAATCTGCCGGAAAATGAGTTATCCGGCGAGTGTGTGTGTGTGTGTGTGAGAGAGAGAATCTGTAGTGAATTGAGTGTAATTTAACAGAGTATAGAAGAAAAGAGAGTTTCTCCAGTTGGCTAATTAATATATTTTGCTTTTACTTTTTCTCGTTTTAATATATTTTAAAAATTACAAAAAATATTCTCAAAATCCGGTGTTTTTAGTTACGTGAATCCCGATGTTAAACCCTGCTTTCTGATTATTATCTGCCAAATTTCATAATTATATTTACTAAATCTTTCTTAATGGATTATGAATTTATATTAAAAGAGCATTTCCTTCACCAAGTCATATTTTAACCTCTTCTATATTTGCAAAAGTTTATTTAAAAGCATAAGTTAGTTATTGTGAATTAGATTGATATTAAATGTTTATTTGTAATTGTTGGTGTTGTTTGCAAATTAGTTGGAAAATTAATTTAATTAAAAATAAATAAATACATGCTTTTGCCATGTTCATAAAAATCTGCACATTTTC